CGTTTAAGCGAGCTTCTATTGCTTAAGCGATCTAGTGTTCACCAGATCTGATCTGAGCAACAGATTGCTTAAGCGATCTGGTGTTAACCAAATTTGATCTGAGCAGCAAATCATTTAAGTGATCTTAGGTCGCTTAAGCGATCTGCTATTCAAAGCTATAGATAACAGCCGATCGCTTAAGCGACCAAAGATTGCTTAAGCGATGTGCTCTTATCAGGAGATTTGAACAACAGATTGCTTAAGCAACCTAAGATCGCTTGTAGATAACAGCAGATCGCTTAAGCAATTTGATCTTATCTGCAAATCTTACGGCAAGTTGCTTGCTTTCTTGTTTCTGATCTATTCAAACCTAATTTTCTGGATCTGCATGTGATCGATTATGGCAACTGCTTCTCTTGTGGCCAAGTTGCTTGCAAATTGAGCACTTTTTTATCCTCCGGGGAACCTCATAGACTGATGGAATACACTTAACTCTTTTTCTTCACTTTTCTGTCTTCTTGAATGGCGGATGGATGATAATGTCAACCAACTCCAGCGACACCACCCACTGCTCTTCTGGAGGAACTGGATATATCGTTTCCGAATAAGCAAGTATGTAGTGGTTTTCCATATAGAGAAGGGAGCAAAGTTCCATGTAAATTTTTGAACCAAAATCTAGCTTTCGTTGGTGTTTCAGTGCTGCTAGTGCATGAGGACAAGGTAAACATTGAATGTCAAGCATTTACAGCTGCATGTTTTACTAAGAAGGTTAACTAGGGCATCCGGACCATAGCCGCGCACGGTGAACTCTTGAGCATTGAGAAGATAGGCAAACAGTGCATTTGATAGTTCCATACGTTCCCGCAATAATTTTTCAGCTGACGAAACAAGGGTTGTGGTAAAATTATCTGACTTCGTATGACGCTCATGGAACTACTGTGACAATGTCATCTAGATTGCATCAAAAAAGGTAACAATTGGAAACTCTCTTTCTATTAACAACTTCAAATTTATGGACTCAACTATGTTTGTGGTCATGACATCAAACCTTTTTCTAGGAAAGTAAGCTTTACTCCATCGCTCGAAACCAAAATCATGCTCAAGATACTTAGCAATTCTATCATCTTTAATTCGGATTTGTTAGAAGTGCTCTTCAAACTCGTTAACTCGATAAGCTTTTGTTGCCATGTAGTACATCTGAAGGAGGCCAACACACTTAAACTTTTGTTTTATGTTCTTGCCAAGGTACCTCTTACCGAATCCGTGATGTGCTTGAGGGTAAATAGTGGCAATCCCCTTCTTTATAGATTTATGTCTATCGGATATTATGCACAACTAGTCACTGTTAGGCACTATTGTAAGTAATTGCTGGAAAAATCAAGTCCATGACTTGTCATTCTCATAGTCAACCACACACCATGCAATAGGATATATGTGATTCTTGCTGTCCTATGCAATGGCCACCAACAATGTACCTCCATACTTTCCCATCAAAAAGCAACCATCACCAACCAATACCTTTCTCATATTTACAAAACCCCTTATAGCAGAACTATAAGCAACAAAAAAATATTTAAACCTCATATTCTTGTCTCACTTCAAAGTCGTCTTGCTACCTTGGTTTGTCAACTCAAGCATATAATGGTACGCTTCTAATACTGTGTACTCGTGCTCTAACGTGCCTTCACAAAATCTTGTACATGTTGTCTCCCTTTCCAGCATTTCCAGTAACTAACATCGCATCCCAACTCTGTGTGCACAAGTCTCTGAATGTCCTTAGGAGATAGACAATTCCCTTCAACAAACTAACTTTTGACAAATTGTCCAATAACATCAGTGGAGGCTTGTCGATGCTCGCCTGAAATATGTCCCAACCCACATATGTGCTCACGGGTATATGTGATAACAATAAATTTTTCGGACTCCCCCAACCTTCTACAATAAACCCATCACTTGCACTTTCAGTCACGACATGCAACCGTCACTACCAATGAATTAGACTTTTTGGTGATGAACTCAAAATTACCTCTCACGACAACAAGTTTTAGCTTCCTCACCACTTCCTCATTGCTGTCAAATAAATAACCTACGCGCAAGTCTGATCCATCAGTAAAAATATGAGGTGATTCACTACTACCCGCAATTGTCGCCTCTAAACTTGCATAAATGACCATAGTGTTCTCTTCCTCACAAACTAGACATTCTGCATAATCTGTATTTATAGGAATCTCTACATCTGTGGGAACATGTATAGGGTCCTCCTCGTCCACATTTTCATTATGCCCCACATGACTAACCTCTTCTACAGTGTCCTCCTCACCACCCAAATCACCGCCTACTCTTGATTTTTCAATAAAGAAATCAATGCTCTCGTAGTTAAAATTAAAACCAGCATTATCCCCACCCAAATCACCGCTTACTTTTGAACCAGCTTCTAAAGCTTTATCCACAATCGAAACCGTTAAAATCAACCTCGAACCATTATCGCCCACATCAAGCATAAATAACTTCACATCTTCATCAGACATTAATACAATAGGGGGTGCCTTAAAATTTGCAAGAGCTCTGCTTAAAACATACTTCACAACCATATCACTACGTGAGCAACTCAACCCATATCTTCTAATGATTTCATCAATCAACCCATTAAAACTAACTTCTGTACTCACAGCAATTGTTTTAACTGGTTTGCTCTTCCCAATCCATTTCCAACAACTTTCTTCCTCCACCCACTGACCAAAATATTCAACACCCAAAATCACTTGTCCCATGTCTAATAATAGCCAAGTACCTATAATGTAAGAAAATAAAAATTATTAACTGATATATTAAGGGTTAACAGATTTTAAAAAGCATCTGCAGAGTCACTTAAGCGATGTGATATATCGCTTAAGTGATCTGGTATATCACTTACTGGATCGCTTAAGCGATCAAGTATATCGCTTAAGCAATCTAGTATAAATAAGTCTGATCGCTTAAGCGATCTTGTGCCATATACCTTATCGCTTAAGCGATTTGCTGCCATATACCAGACTTATAGCAGATCGCTTAAGCGATCTTCTACCACATACCTGATCGCTTAAGCGATTTGCCATATGATGCATTATACCAGACATACCAAATTGCTTAAGCGATACACCAGATCGCTTAAGCAATCCATCAGATCCAAACACATTTCCAGTCATCTCCACTTATAATTGGTGCTACCACCCCCAACTACCCACAATGCAAGAAAAGATTCAACAAATTTCACTTCTTTCAACTTGCATTACATCAAACACAACCTAACAACCTAAACAACTAAATCAAAATCATAACCCAAACCCAGTCCATCATTAAATCTGTGTAAATCAAAATTTAAAATGCAAAAAGGAGATACACATACCTAGACGAAATGTTAGGAGGAGGAGGAGGCAGATCTTTGGTGAAGGAAGAAGAAAGTGTTAATGGTGGAGGAAGAAGAAGATGTAGAGGAAGGAGGAGGAAGAAGATGTAGACGAAGAAGAAGATGGAGAGGAAGAAGAAGATGTAGACGAAGTTTATAAGAACAACAACCAGCGGAGATGTGTTAATGGCGGGAGGAAAAAGAAGAATGTTTTTGGGTTGTTTGCAAGAATTTTGGCTTTTTAGGTACATATTATAATTTTTAAAAGATTACACAATACTTCATTAATCCTAATTAACCACGAATCATGTTTAATTAATCTTAATAAATAATAAGACTATTTACTTAACACTTTAAAACTACATGGCCTTTTAATTAAATTTGAACTTCATTTGATCTTTTAATAAAATGCCCTGTCATAAAGGTATCGGGTTTGAAAGTTGGCTAATTATTATAACCCTCCTAATTTTTTGTCAATTTAATTAACCTCATATGGGAAAGGTTTAGGAGCACCACATTTTTAACATAAAGTTTGACATATTTTATAAATTATTAGATTAAAATACTTTGAATGGTTGAGATTCAATACAATTTGAACAATTTGTGTTGTGTGTGATTTTTCCATCAAGCTTGGAGAATTGCGAGGTTATAGCTTGATCCAGAATCAGTTCGACTTAATCGATTGTCCGACCCAGCATAAGCTCGTTTAGATGTAGCTCGACCTAGCACAAGCTAGTCGCGACCAATCCCTGTAGTTGTTCAACCAGCTCATAGATAACTTCAGATCCTGGATATCTTGGAAGGGATCAGATCGACAACAATCTTGGCTCAATCTTAGCCCTCAATCGCGAGAATATCAGAGTTGCATTTCAACCTTAATTATAATCCTTTTATTTTCGCTCTTTTCTTTATACAAAATTTGAATATAAACCCCTTCCAACGATAGAAAAGAGGTTAGCAAATTGTTCTATGATTATTATTGTAAGCTCTCAAAGCAAATAAAAAGATCAGTGGACATAGGCTTAAAAGTATAACTCACCGAACCACTTTAAAAACTCTCTATGTTATTTACTTTACTGTTTCCAATTCATTACATTCTCCTGGTTATCCATAATCACACACATATCCGTTTCGATTCTGCCAAGGTCAATTGGCTCGCTCTAGTTGGTGTATTTTTTGTATCAACAATTTAAAATATCATATTTAGATGTAATCTCAATTGTTCAAATGCATTGATCTAGTAGTCCAAAATGTGTGTGTGTGTGTGTGTGTCTATATATATATATATATATATTTTTTTTTTTTTTTTTTAATTTCATCCCAAGGCGACACAATTCACTCAAATCACCCGACTTGCCGCCATCCACATTCTAGAAATGTGGAAATTGGATGATAGTTGAATTTGGGTTTTATCTACTATGAGTCCAGTCTTATAATGACCCCTGATCCAAATTTGTAGCTTTAGACCAACCAAATTTATAGTCCAGTGGGCTTTGGGTCCGATCTATCATAAACTCTTAAAGCCCACAATCTTAACCGCACAAAATCCACGTGCACGGTCCTCCTACCACTTACAAAAAAAAACCTAATTTGTATTCATACACTGAAGAATCTCCTTCTTTTATATATAAAGACTCCCAAAAACCCTACTTCCGCCTCAGGGAGTCGTTTGAGCAGCAGAGCTTTAGCATTCTCATCTGAGCCGCGAAGCCACAGACTCCATCAACAAAAATGAAGGTTCTTGATTTCGTTGATAATATCTACAGGGTTTTGAAGTTTATGCTTAATAATACACATATTCTTTTGAATCTTCTCATACGGTTTCGTTTTGGTTTGTTTCAGTTTAATATTGCAAATCCAACTACTGGATGACAAAAGAAGCTCGAAATCGACGATGACCAGAAACTGTACGTGTTTTATTTTGTTTTAAAATAGTCTATCTGTTTACATGAAATTAGCAAATTGTGTTACGTTTAGGGATTGTTCTTGTGCTCCATTGTTGTTTTCATTATTTATTTATTTCTTTTTTTTTTTTTTTTGTGTTATTTTTTGCTGAGAAATATTATTTAATTTGTGTTGTGTTAAGATTTTACATGGGTTCTTTTTATTGGTGAAAATGTATATAACATTAGAAAGCAAGAAAATGTTTCTAATACTTTGGTTTTCTTCTTGTAATCTATTTTGTGTGTCCTGGTATAGAGAGTTAAATGAATCCTGATCTCATAGCAGACCTGTTTGGTTTACTTGTTAACTAATTGAGTAGGAACTGATGGATTCAGGTTTTCTTTTCTAGTGGGTTTTTCTTTTTCAAATTGTTGTACTTAGCTCTGAAAATGTTTATCCTTTGTTGATAATAACTTTCCTATTCATACTCCTAAGATTTTAGATATGATTAATATATATTATGAAATGCTTAAGTGTAGAGGATCTTTCTTGCAATGAAGGTTTTTTTTTTTTTTTTTTTTTTTTCCCTTGATTGATCATCCTTGGCTGGGTTTTTGTGCTTTTCTTCTTGTTCTGCTTCCTGAATCTCCTCCTTCATGTCTTTTAGTATGATAAATAATTTATTTTCCATTTCATTTGTACTTGAGTGGGAGACTTAACCGAATTTGGGTGTTATAAATCTGGTTTCACAAGTGACTGACGTCTGCTTGGTGTGTGTGCCAAAAGTTGTTGGTATAGCTTTGATGCTGCAAATTTTTATTAATAGCTTTCTTATGTTATGCACTGGAACTGTACACTTGCTATTAAATTAATGTTTTAATTTGACTGGATAATTTTCTTAATTAAATACAATTGTGCAGCCGAGCTTTCTTTGACAAGAGAATCTCTCAAGAAGTTAGTGGAGATGCCCTTGGTGAGGTATGGTTTTGTTATTAAACTTTCTAGCTTGGTATTTCTCACCTTTTTCCTTTTCCTTCTACCCAGGGGTTATATCCGTAGCCTTTGCATTGTTCCTATTGTTTATGTTTTCATCTTTTAATTTGTTTGACAGGAGTTTAAGGGCTATGTGTTCAAGATCATGGGAGGCTGTGACAAGCAAGGTTTCCCAATGAAGCAGGGAGTGCTGACTCCTGGCCGTGTTCGTCTTTTGCTCCACAGAGGTTTGTAAAATGTGCTTGCTGTCTTCTTTTGTGTTTGTGTTTGTGTGTGTGTCATGTTTATGTGGCTTTGCACTTGATACATGTTCTGTAGGGTTTTGTATTTCACTGTGGTAATTTGGATATCTAATTTTTTTAGTCTTGTACCTGAATTTTATGTCAATTTGGCAGAGGTGAAACTAAGTTGAAGATTATTTGCTTTTTTGTGCAGGTACCCCTTGCTTCCGTGGATATGGAAGGCGTGATGGAGAGCGTAGGAGAAAGTCTGTGCGTGGATGCATTGTCAGTCAAGATCTGTCAGTGCTGAATTTGGTCATTGTGAAGAAGGGTGAGCAGGACCTACCTGGACTCACTGACACTGAGAAGCCCAGAATGAGAGGTCCAAAGAGAGCATCAAAGATCAGGAAGTTGTTTAACTTGTCCAAGGAGGATGATGTCAGGAAGTATGTTAACACTTACCGTAGGACCTTTACAACCAAAACTGGTGAGTCATATGATCATTTCTGATTTGCTGCTACAACCAAATATGGTCAGTTTGTAGTTCATAACTGAAAAAAATGTGTTCATTTCTGGTTTGCAGGTAAGAAGGTTAGCAAGGCTCCTAAAATTCAGAGGCTGGTAACTCCTTTGACCCTGCAAAGGAAGCGCGCCAGAATTGCTGAAAAGAAGAAGAGAATCGCCAAGGCCAAGACTGATGCTGCTGAATATCAGAAGCTCCTTGCTACCAGGTTGAAGGAGCAGCGTGAGCGCCGCAGTGAGAGTCTGGCAAAGAAAAGATCAAGGCTCTCTGCTGCCTCAAAGCCATCAATTGCTGCTTAGATACAGTACACAGGGGTTGTCTTTTGGTGAATCAAGTAATGTCAGTGCTGGATATCCTTAATAGGTTGAGGTAATTTTTATTGTTGGTTGATTTTGAGAGTACTTGGATGCTAATGGCATGTAACAGGCCGACATTCTGCTATTAGACATTTCAGATCTTGTTTATTTTAATTGTGGGATGTTGAACCATTTAATTGGGTTTCTTATGGTTAGTTCTATTCATTATGGATTTCATTTTTACATTGCTTATCCGGCTTTAACTCTAATTAGTATTTATACTTGTTTCGCGGTGTGATACATTTTATTTTTATGCTGCCAAACTTGTTACTTTATCCATAAAAAAAATTGTCGCTAAATGTTGATAGATAATAATTGTAATTAATTTGAACGCATTTTTGTCTATGCTTAATAAATAGATAAATCATGTCAAAGTAGTAGGTAAATAACCAAATAGTAAATGGCATTATCCAAGGTTAATAAAAGTACACTTTCAGAAGCAGTGTTTTAAAATCATGCCTGACCGGTTGAACCAGTTCAATCAGGACTTGAGGCTTTCATCTGTTATAAATTTTCATTCATTGAAAACTCTAGAAATTATAATATCAATCCATAGACAATTGAAGGTTGAAATGTTTTGAAGATGAATGGTCAGTGAGTGCAATGGTGGTGACAACGGTGATTTCCGGTGAGTGAATCGATTGGAAATCGCAAAACTATGTCGACAGAAAAAGTTCGTTGTTGTCGACGATTAGGGAGGCGAACAGGGGAAGAGTGAGATGGGTTTGGGTCAAGAGACTGAGATGAGTGTTTTTCATAGTGATGTCGAGTGTCATCGTCGTTAGAAACAAGCCTTATTTGTCGATGTCGATGCTGGTGTTTGGGATGTTTTTGTAAGATTTCAAATCTATATGAATTTATAGTAGTTTTCAGGTTATTTATGTTAGATTTCAAACTTTTGAACATGGTTTGAGTTATATCGGTCAATTGGGGACCCAACCACTTTGTTTTTCACCTCGGGTTGGGTTTTAAAACCCTGCTAAGAAGTATTAAGTTATATTTTCCTTAATGTTATTTCATTGTGAAATTATACTCAGTTTTTTGTCGTTTGATACAAATTACAAAGATTTAAATTATAATCCGACTACAAAAGCAAAACATGGACCGAGATGTGCGGGCCTCAAAAGAGATAAGATGGTAGAAATGAATAAAAACGAAAAATGCAGGGCTTCAATGTAGTTTGTAGGATACCATGCCTGCTGTTGTCCTAACTCTTAATGCACATTAATTATCATCTTAAATAATTGAGAATTAACCCTTAAAAAACTTGAAATTGTGATAATGGACGACTACGTACTTAGGCTTTGTTTTTTTCTTAAGTGAAGTATCTTCCAAAATCAAAAAAATTAATCAAAGAAATTGAATGTAAACATCAAAATACCAAATTTAATTAAAAGTTGACTGTCCAAAACTGGAAATTGTCATCGTAGACACTTTGTACCAAGATTTCTTATGATTTTCAATCTAAAAGAATTTGTTTGATTGAAATTTTTTGTCAATTAGTATTAGATGAAGTTAATAAACCATTGATGGATACCATTTAAAGAGGTTCATATATATATATAAAAAAAAAAAAAAATTGTGAAAGTTCAAAGGAGAGATGTTATAGGTTTATACTAAAGGCTATTTTTACATTTCTTTTATGTAAAAGCACCATATTCAATATTAAAAATCTGAGTTTACTAAGTGATGAAATGCTATTTTTCAACTTTTAAATTAAAACAAAGAAAAAATATATTTACTGCATGCAAGATCTCTAAATACATCTAATAGTTTCAGTATCTTTAGAATATTTCAACAGTCAAAATATGTCCAATTTTCTAGAATGGTTCTCAATATAATACAGAAAATACCAAATATTGTTTTAAGATTTTCTGTGTGTGGGGGAATATAAATTGTTAAACAAATTTTCCACATACTTATAATATTATAAATAAAAACTGAATATGAAATACCCGATTTTGTAATTTCTAAGTCTAATACGAGTTTTTATGCAAAGGTTCCAACCAAAACCATACTCATGCATTATCATAAGATTGATGCAACATCTCACTGACCAATCCCAATTTCTGCAACATCATCCATGAGAACAATATAACTGCACTCAATTATATTATTTTGCTAGTTTTATATGCATTAATCCCTTTCAATTCTTAACCTCCCTAATCTATTAATCCCTCTTCTCATCAGTTCTCACAGTCCAGACTCTAACAAAATGTCCACAGGCCTTCTATTTGCCACCCTGCAATTGCTCCTAATTTCTCCAGCTCTCCCGGATTGCAAGTCTCCCATCTTTATCATTCCCTCCGCAAAGGCCTTGAAAAATTCACCTTGGTTTTCTTTAAATAAGCAAACATACTCTCTGGTCTCTGGATTTGTATACAGTGTTTCATCGGAATTCAGAAACCCTCTTCCAGCAGCCAAGTCTTTGAAGTATTGGTTATCGAATATTTGAGGTGTTGCATCAAGATCTACTGTCACATTTTCATCTCCTCCGAGTGGGCAAAGTCTGTCTAGCTTTTCTCTGAACTTGGGCTCAATGGTTGGATCAGGCTTGCCTGACCCAGATTGGTTATAGAGCCTGAACATGATTGAAAAGCATCTGCCTTGCCCAATAGAGTGTGAACCTGAAAGAGCTACAAGATCTTTCACAGAGAGATTGAATTTGGCAAATAAATCAATGAGGAAACTTGCATTTGCTCTTGGACTTGGCATGATACTGTCTGAGTCTTCTTGGCTCGCTGTCAAACTATCTTCCCTTCCTAGCTTCACCTCCCAATTGGGTCCTCCACTCTGTTTTCATTAATTTACATTCAAATTAGGTTAATTACCAAGTCTTTATCTTTATTGTGCAGTCTAAAAAACCCACTATTAAAATACTTGTAATACTTGCATATCTTAATATAATGAGCACAAGTGAACAAATGAATGCAGTCAAAGCCATGTACACCACTAAAATGCCAAAACAAAACAAGGGGCATTGATAACAGAGGTCTCCATAATTGATCCTCATCGTTTTCTATGTGATAGACTAGTCAAAACTTCTCCTTTTGCTTCCATTAACACTATATTATGTTAAAATTAAGTTAACAAAATAATGAATTTAGTTGACGAAGATAAATATAGGGAAGAAGGGTACCAGTGAAACGGCATCTCTGGAAGCCATAATTATGATATCAGCACAAGAAACAGTTCCCGGACAGACCTTCTCCAGAGCCTCTTTTATCTCATCGATGACTTCGAAAGATCTTAGCGAATTTATATTGGAAAGAGCCAGTTTTTCTCCGAGCATCGTTGGTGTGTCATCAAGCAACAAAGATGCATCACAGCCCTGCAAAATCAAGAGTTGAAAATATGGAAAAATCATAACAAGAAGTGGAATCGACTAAGTAAATAATACTTATGTTTTACATTAACGAAGCAATCGTGGAACTGGAAGCGCATAACAGAGGCGACGCTTCTTGGTTCTCTAATCATGGCCTTTATCATCATATCCCGCACGATGAATTCAGCTTCTGGGCAAGTTTCTGAGTAAAACCCCGGGCGGAGAGGGGTTGCCACGGCCATGGTGATGAGGAGGAGAAGCAATACAAGAGGCAGAAGAGACATTTTGTTTCTTGTAAGAGTTGGAAGTGAAATGGTCCCAACTGATTTTTATTTATAGAGAGTGTGATGTGCATTCAATTGTAAATAAATAGTACAAGAGCATAAGTTTGGGTGTGATATTTTATGTTTATAAGGAATCTCTTAATTTAATGTCCTAATAAGATTATTTTATTTTTTTATGACAATAAAATTTCATTTTTAGTACTAGTAACTTTGATTCCTAAGTGATATACATGCAGAATTAATGATAAGATAATGTGAGTGATGTGACTATGTAATTCTACATAAATATAATTTATTGTATTTTAATTCATTCCGACCGTTACTATTCCAGCGTTGAATGTTGCTACAAGTGACACAAAACAGTGGGTTGTGAGAAAAATCCGGTGCTTTTTTTGTTTTATAATAGATTCAAGTAATGTTTTAAATAAGTGGATTTGATACAATATTGTGGGTTTGGTTTTGAGAAAAATTCAGTGACTGTTTTGTCTTATGAAAAGAAAATTGTGAGTTACAGACCGATACATTAGATTTCTTTTATAAAGTAAAATGTTAATTTTATGGCACTATTAGATGAGCATACAATATTCAAGTAAAATTATGGTGATACAATATATATCTGAGACAACACCATGGGTTCCTAGAAAAAGAGCGTATTTGTTTTTTTATATGTGTTGATGCTGGATTTCGACATCAATGACTCATATATACAAAGTGTTAAACGGGCTTAAAAGTTATACGTGATATGGAAATGTATAACAAGAGAGTAAATAAAAGACGGTTTTTAAAGTAATTCGGATGCTCAAAAGTGATTCTTATGTTCACTGTGATTGTATTAATAGATGGTTACAATCCAAAGAGAAAAGAGAGAGAGAGAGAGAGAGAGTATGTTGTTTAAGACTAAAGATAAGTCAATCTCATAAATGAAAAAAGAGCCATCTATTTATAGTGGGAGGATTTAAAATAATAATTATGAACCTGCAGTTTGGCAGGTAGGGTACAATTTCTAACCCGCTTCTCATTGATTGTTTGCATGAGATATATCCTTAAATTGCGTAGGGCTTAGGCAGGTGGACGATTCCTAGCCACTCGCGAGCCTGACATTCACAAACTGTACTGACGAGAAACATATCTCTTCCGTCATTACCCAACGTGGCAATGTCTAGACGGCACAAATGCTCCCTTAATTATGATTGGCTCTGGCTGACCAGAGTCTATGTCAACCCTTACTTTTTAGGCATAACAATATGTGAATAGAAACTTGTGTGCCATAGATTCAAGTAATTGTATTAGACATGTACGTTAGATTCCCTATAGAAATATAACATTACAAAGGGAAATGGGTTGTAAAAGTATGGATGAGATAATGGAGTGTTTGGTATAAGATTACAGAAGTGGGGCATTTGATAAAAATATATGGTAAAGTGTGGGGGCATGGAGATAGTCTTGATTCCTCTAAAATTGTGACACTGTGTGAATGTGTCAACATATTATAGGGTGTTGTTATGACAAAAGGACGCAAGAAAATGAGAGAGATATTTAACCGAAAGAGAGTACTGATTGCGATTGGTGTTATTAGTGCGTCAACGATTGCGACGCCCACGTTGTCCTCACAAATTTTTTTCGCTTGCATTTTACGCTTGTCTTTCCCCTATTTTATCAATAGCCCAATGTAAGGGTCAGTTTTTCTTAATTGAAATTATTTTATAAAGTCATTTGTATACTATTGTTCAAATTAATTTACGAAACATTTTTTGAATTATAACTTGCCAAATAAGTGATTAAGAAAAAAAAAGTTATAACAAAACCAAGTTCTTTTTTGAATTATGAAAAAAAAAAAAAAAAAAAGGGCATTCCATGATGCTATGCCTAAAAAAATCAGGACTAACATGAGTTGATGTCAACGAGTACCAATCAAAGTTCAGGAAGGCTTTACGCCATCTAAAGTCTGTCACATCGCCTAAGACAGAAAGAATATATTTGTCAACAACCCAGCCGACTCAAGTTTTGTCTATGAATGAATTTGGTTCGCACACCTATCCAAACCCCATTTAATTTAAAAATATTTCTTAAGTTATCAACCAATGGGAATACATGAGAGATTTGCACAATATCTACCAAAAATAGAAAAAACACACCACAGGAAAGAGACTAGCTTGATACTCTCTAAGAAAACTTAGAACAATAAGCACCTATAACCCAGATCGCAGTTCGTGACCTTTTGTAATCTTGGCTAATAACTAAGAACTCACTCATATAAAAGAAAACAGTAGATGTATGAATCGTTATAAGAATCCAAACTATTATAAAAACTTTCATTATCTCATTTACTTTTTACGTATTTGTATGCTACTGTGATAACAATACTTTATCTAACTCTTATAATAATTCACGTGTGATTTCTAAGACTTTCTTAGCACTTTACATGTGTGAGTTTGTTGGTGTCAAAAAATTAAGCATCAACACATGAAATGCCCATTTGTTAGAAGGAGACAATGGAATGGGGTGGGAATGAGGATTATTATTCCCATTCCCATCCCTGTGTGGATTCAATGAATCAGGCAATTGCATCAAATTGGGAAGCGACAGGATCCAAAAAGTAAGGTTGGGCAAAAGAAATGAAGTGGTCCACTTTGAAATTGTGAGATGCTGAAGTTGGAGGAGGCAGGCAAGGGCAGACGGCAGAGGTCCCCCACTAGCTGAGAATATGGTTATCCAACTGACAATGAATATGATGTTTCCGCTTCTGCTCCAATAAGTTGGACTACCATTTTCAGTGGCCCATCACTTGCAGCTGATGAACCTATATCTATTCTATACACTAATGTTCTGGACCACCACCTTTCCCATTTCTTTTGACTGATTCCACCTCCCGTTGCTTTTCTCAATAGTCAATATAATAATATTGAGATATTATATTGAGAAAAGCAATGTATGACATAATCTCTTGATACACCATCTTTATTTCTTAGGCTGAATGATATTTTCCCACTCAAACTTTGGCAAACGTACATTTCTAACCCATGAACTTCTCCCACCCATTGTTAAAATTCAGATGTTAGTTTTAATGACAAGTATATATTATAAGGTTAATGTTATTTACACCCCTAAAATAAATTCAGATGTTAGTTTTAATGACAAGTATATATTATAAGCTTAATGTTTATGATTCGAGCTCTCTACGATTAGCAAAGCTTGAGAAACCAGTATAGTAGAGAAACACTTAAACCCGTCTTCTCCAGTATACAGCAGCCCAACAATCTCATTGTTTGGTTGACAGAAACTCTACACAGATTGCTCAACGCAAGCTCCTCCAAAAGAACTCATTTCTCTAGCTTGTATTTTCTCTCAATGGAATGGATGAAGATAGAAAAATGTTTATGATGAATGATATAAGAGACAATCATATACTACTCTTCACATACTCCATCTTTTCATATTCATAACCCATCCTTTAATTCAATCACCATAAACACCTCCAATTCAATGATTTAACTCCCTTCAATCTTTAATCTTCCAACCTTCCATGAATAATAAACAAAAGGAAAAAATGCAAGTTACAACAGGTAACAAATTTCATTGACGGATTAACGATGGATGGGAAAATATTTTTTTCAAAGTTCATGGGTGGAAAATGGCAGATTTGCCAAACTTGGGGTGGAAAAATGTCATTCAGCCTTATTTCTTAGTCTTATACACATGGGGGTCGTAAATTTAATTAGAAGCTGATGCTGATAAGTTGATATATGCAAAAGGTTAGTGATGAACCGGCAGCATAAAGGTGGGGTAAGGAAAGAATTAAACTTTAAAAATTAGACGCTAAGTGATTCTGACATAATTACCAAATCCACAAGTCCATTATCAGCTTTTGCAATTTACTAATGGGGACATAAGAGATTTATTTAAATGGATTAGTCAGCTAATTGGTTTGGTTTTTGCTTTTGCCCAAGATTTGTGCCCACAACTTTATCTTATGCAAAAGCAAATTCTACGGATAAGAATATTTTCGAAAGGGAATATATAGTTTTCTTAAGCCCTTTAATTTTGATATTATCCATAAGGTTCCCAATAATTATAGAATAGCCAAAATATGATCCAATTTAGTTTATATAATTAAATGAGTTAAAAAACATAAACCCTCTTAAAGTTTAATGTAATAACAAAAGTATCATTGTTGTTGGTCAAAGTCTAAGGGAATATATGGTTTTCTTAAAGAAATTTGTAAAGCACTTGCAAAACTCTTTGTTGAGTAAAAGAAAAAGATTACGTACTCATGGGTAGCCCAGATAAGGGCGAACCAAAAAAGTTTTGCATGACTTCAACCCACAATCTCAAATTTAATTATTCGTTGGACGCAAATATAGTATCTTTGCCCATGATTTGCTTGGGGACTACACGATGGGTTGTTGTAGGATAGCTTCCCATGAGGATATTGATTTATCAAGAGAAGTGAGGTTTCATGGAGTTTGGGAGATCCAAAACAATTGCAAAGGCTTGGTTATGATAGAGTCCAAACCGCCCATTCAGTCAAAACTTGACACATGAAAGAAATTGCCCACCCACTAAGAAAAGCCCAAAGACTTTGAAAATGGAATGGAGGGTCTGAATACTTAGGGACGTCCACTATGGGAAAGTTATAGTTCCACTATGGAAGGTTAAATCACTTCCTTAACAATAATAAAAACCATTTGTCAAATCCAAATTGTGGGAGATTCATCTCTCTTAAAAGATAATATCAATAAAGGATAATTTATAAAAATGAGGGTCGGTGCATTAACAAAAGCCTTTTTAAATTAGTATTGGTATGATTTTTTTTTACGTAGAGCTGATGAATTAAAAAAAAAAAAAATCGAATTTATAAAATTAGAGTTTTTATATGAAAAAAAAATATATACAGTAAAACCTCTTTATAGTGATATTCTATATAAGAATAAATTCTACATAGTCATAAAAAATCATATTCCCAATCTGAAATAGTTATAAATAAAAATAAACTCTACATTGTAATAAATTATAATTTTTCTAATTCCCGTCTTAAGGAAAGTTGCCTCCACATAATAATAATTATGTGTATATTGTAAAAAATATCTATATAATATATTACATTAAAAGTTTAAGATGAAATAAAATATTTATCTAAAGTTGTTTTGGACAATAAGTTATGCTTTAGAGTTATTACCACATCTTTTAACTTGCGAGTACATTATTCACTAGCATAGACATTTTCTTGTTGAAGCCAAAATATTTTTAGCTTCTCAAACATGTTTAGAGCTTCTTGTTACGAAACTTTTTATATTTATATACTATCATCCTCATAATTATTTCATTTCTTTTTTTGTCTAATTTGTAGCAATGACTTATTCTTCTGTTAAAGTATGCATGACTTGTTGCTCATTTGGATGATTAAGGAAGACATTAATATCTATTTGATTAATGTAGTGAAGTTGTCGAATCTAATCACTCAATTCTACAATGACTCTTTGATTTTCCCCATCCACTTCAATTGTAACTTGCAATTCATCAACATTGGAGGTCTTAATTTTATAATGCTTAAAACAATATGCAATTGTCTCTGACTTCACATCAATTGACCATGTAACAACTAGGGATGTTCAAAAAAATGCAAAAACCGAACCGAACCGATAACCGAAAAAACGGTTCGGTTACGGTTCGAAAAATTCAAAAAACCAAATTTCCGGTTCGGGAAAAAATAAAAAGCAGTTAACCGAAACCGGTTTTTTGAACCGGTTTTACAAAAATTATATATATATATATAATTAATTAAATAAAATAATTATATATAAATAAAATAAAAATATTATATATTATATATTAAATAAAAAAAATAATATTTTATTGTATTGTTAGTAGTGGTCAATGGATTATATGAATGTCTAATTTTATTTAGATATGTATTATTTATATTACAATTTAATTAGGAAAAAATAAAAAAAAAAAGTTTTATAAAAAAAAGGGAAAACCGGTTCAAAACCGGTTAACCGCTTTAAAAAAAGCGGTTAACCGAAAAACGGTTTTCCCTCCAAACCGATTAGGTTTCGGTTCGGGAATTTTCCGAACCGAAAAACGGTTCGGTTTAAAACTTTGAACACCCCTGGTAACAACTGTATTTACAATTCCCATCAAAGACAATTATTTTTATTGGTTACAAGACACGATCTTCTATCCGTTTCAAAAGTAGACAATGAAGAACTGAATTAAAACCATAATACTATTAAAACAAAATTGAAATCCTAATATTGTACTACTAAAACATGAATTATGAAATAAATATTTTTTTGTAACTATACCTCTATAAGTATAACCTCTTTATAGTAATAAAATTAGTTAGTCTTACATTATGACTATAGAGAGATTTTACTGTATATTATCACATAATGATTTGTTAGTAGAAATTACCAAAAGCAGATTCTAGTTCAAGGAAATGAATCAAATCATAAAAGTAAACTTCAAAAAACGTTGTGAAAATATTTGACGCTTCAAAACTGGAAAAAAAAATGAAAAAGATTTTATTTGAATGTCCTAAATTTAAACTTTCCTAATGATTCAAAATTGCTTACTCAATCACCCAAGAAGTCTTTTGAATTAAACGGTTGGACACTAAATAATAGGCAAACGGCCCAAAAATGAAGAATCCATTAGGTTTCAACAAAATAGACATTTTTTTAGGGAAATGATTTCCAACCCCCATCGAATTGATTTTATCCTCTATTGCTAAATACACTTCTTTTTATAATTAAAAAAAAAATTATCTTTAAACCCCATCTAATACCGAAAATAACCTTCTAAGCTTAATTGGGTTTATCCCCAATTTCAAACTTAATTATGTTGTTAATTACCCCTTTTTCCCATCTTCAGTAGATAATTATTATTTTTTTGTTTACACACATTCTCCCAATTTTCAAATTTTAATTTGAAACTACCTTTTCTTCTTTAGATGCAAATTCATCGTTATGCAATTACTTTTCTATAATATTAGTAATTTAGTATTATATTTTCATCAATCAAACAAATATTTGAAATAAAATAAAAGGTTCAATGATTATAAAAAGTTAGGGTTAGAGTTTTTATAGTAGAAGTTAAAAATAAACAGAAATATAAAATAGAGTAAATTGTATTTAAAAATATGGTTGCGTTTGGTATACTTTTTTAATAGTGTTTCTAAAATAATATTATGAATATGATATGATAAGATTCTGAAAATGTGTTTGGTACATTATTAGAAAACATTTCCTTAAAATTTTAGATTATTTGTTAACCCTCTACATTTGTTAATTTAGATAAAAATCCCCCTTTAACAATAAAAGTTCATAAATTAATAATAACACTCCCACCCACCCAATCGACTACTGGCAACTGGCCACCATCGTCGGACGGTGGTCGTCAGTCTCCGGAATGGTGCATGACTAGCTGGATATGATTGGTCGTGCGTCGATCTTGCCTTTTCTAGTCAGATCCACCTAGATTTGGTCAGAAAATACAAGATCAACGTACTACTGGCCAGATCCAGCCAATCGTGTATCGTTAGGGCGCCGACTGCTGATGGTGACAGCAACGACGGTGATTGGCGATGGCGGCTGGCAGATGATAGTGGCTTGGATGGGTGAGAATGTTTTTGTTAGTTTTAAAACTTTCATTGAGAAAGATAATTGTTGATGTTTTGACTTTTGAGCTAAATAGAATAAAATTGGATTTTGAAAAATATTAAAACAAACACATTTCATTTTTTAGGATAGGATAACGGAACAGGATAGTATTAAATAGCCATACAAACGCAACAAAAATCTCATTATTAGGCATTTTAATTAAGGTTAAACTTGTTAAAATAAAAAATACATTTAAAAGTGGGGGATACTGATAAATTAGGTGAGGGATAAAAATCAGTTAGAGGAAAATCGAACAAAGCTGGTCCAATAGGCCCCATTGGGCCTAATCAAGAAGCCCGAGATTGGAAACCTAAGTAATGGGTCATATGTCAGTTACGACTCCAAATCCAAATCCAAGGTAATGGGTCATAGGTAGAGGAGTAAAATGGGTTCCTAATGTGCAAGAATTTAGGTAGCAAAGACACAATTAGTCTAACGTGATTTTATCATTTATAACTAATTTTTTGAAGTTTTTCTTTCAATGTCTAAACAAAGAGCAGATGTTATATTGGATCATTTTAATAGAATCCTCCTAATTTGTTAGACTTCTTCCTTCTTGTTCCTCTACTTTCTCTCAGGCCAAACACTCATTTACTTCTAGCAGTGAAATTAGTTGGCACGCAAATATCAAGTGAGAAATAAAGTCGTGGGCTGATCCAGACAGCAAACGAAGGCTTTTCAAATAGGTTGGATTGGACTGAGCCGGGCCGGGCTAGTAGGCCATAACAAAAATGTGAATTCATAATCATAACTCCCACAAACCGCACACAAGAGCGGGCGTTATAAACTCCACGCCACATTACGGTCACCGAATCAATACAAGAGCAAAGCAAAGCAAAGCAGTAGAAGCAAAGAAAAGAGCGGAAATGGGCGGCGGAGGAAGAGAAGGAAGAAGTTACAGGTCTCGCACTCAGAGAAAACATTTCAAACAAAGTAGAGAGAACGTTTGGAAACGTAGCAAAGCCGATCCTTCTGCTCCCGATTCAACTGACAATTCAACTTGGCAGCCTTTCGCCACTCAGAACCCCGCCTTCGATGAATACTATAAGGTACTTCATTTCTTTTCTTTCTTTACTTCCTCCTTGTAAATTAATGGTTTTCTGTAATTTTATGTTGGTAGGCGCAAGGGATTGTGGCTGCTGAGGAGTGGGAGCGCTTTGTGGAAGTTCTTCGAAAGGCATTACCGGCTGCGTTTAGAATTAATTCCAGGTAAAAATATTCTGGTTAGTAATTTTTTATGTTTGTTAAATTGTTATTGTGAGAGAGGATAACTGCGATGATTGATTTTTTTATTTGTGCTATGCTTTCAGTTCAAGTATTTAGGTTTAAAGTGGGAAACTGTGTACTGCTAAGTTGTCATGTGGTAGTTTTTGTATTTTTTGGTCAGAGACTTGACTAGTTTAACAGTGTGCTATACTGACATTTAGTGTAGTTGGCGTTTCATAAGATTGATCAGTTGGGGTACATCAATTATGTGTGCATATAGAAGAGGAAATTGCAATGTCTTGGTTTGTGCTAAAAGTAATTAATGATAAGGGCATTGGGTTCTTCCTGCCATTTGCTGCTGTCATTGGCAAGACATTTGTTGCCGGCACTCCATCATAAGCTATTAGGAATATGCTCTTTCCTTAATTGCTTAAATACATATGCAGCACTTCAGCTTCAAATTTCTGTATGGTTTTGAGTCTGTCTTTGCTCCAGTGTTTAAGGAGCTTGGTTAGCAGAGTTAGGGTCTTCTTAAGTTAGGCATGTGGCTGGTGCGTTTTCCTTGGTTGTTTGAGATTATTTAATACAGTTGGGTCACTTTCTTGGCCAGGTGATGTTAAACTTATAAGCCCTTTTGGATTTAATTTACTATACCTGCATGTCCTCGGAGTTCCAGCCCTATCACGTAGTCAAATCATTGAATTTGAATGCAGTCCTAGAAAGCCTATAAGAGCTGTATGCTGATGATAGAGCAAGTTTGGCCTGCAGGATAATAATTGTAGTTGCACATGTGCTAAGACCCGTGCAAGTTCCTCTAGGATTCAGTTTTGAACAAGTTTTCCTGGTTACCACTGTCACACTTTGACTTGTCCCCGAAGCCAGTGCATTTTGACCCGGTCCTATACATAGGATAAGAGGATAGCATTGTAAAAATCAATTGTGCAAGTGCTCTTAAGCCAGGGGGAAGAATGATTGTTGATATCAGAAGATGGCTAAGGCCTCAACTTTGATAAATCTATGATAAACATTAATCTGAAAAACTGTGAGCTAGTGGTTATTCATTTGTAGTTTTGTGATGTATCTATTTTTGGGTGCACAAATAGTTGAGTGTTCTTAGCTAGAGAATGCAAGAAACTTCATGGTGCTTGCCTAGTTGGATGTGCCAAGACGTTACACTATGTGAAATCATGGATCAAAATTTCAGTTCAAAAGAGTAGTAGCTTCAAGACTTAGAACCTTGGAGCATGAACATGTAAGTGGCTGAACAATGTACTTAGTCGTTATTGTGGTTATACAGAATGATATGACTATGAAAGAAAATTAGGATTGAAAAACAAGATAGGGATTTTGGTGCCTGAGACTATTTAAAGCAATCAGAATCCCTTTTTCCCGTAATGGTTACTATTGAGATAGAAATTTGATGCTAGTCACTAGAAGATATGGCAATGTCAAACCACACAAAAAAAGGGTTATGCTAACGAACTGGTATTACTGAAAGAGACAACAAATGTGATTAGTGTATATGAATTAATGAATTAAACATGGTTGGTTATCATATGAAGGGTCAAAAGTTGGTGTTTTTTCTTTTATTTTGGGTTGGGGGGTTTGGGAATTCGGAAGCATAAATTTATAGCATAGGTTTACACTTGTAAAGGGACAGTTTTCTTTTTTATAGTTTTAATCCCCTTGGTAGACACCTGGTCCACTTCATACATGTAATTTTTATGGTTATATACATCCTCAGTTTTCTATAGAACATAAATATGTGCTTTCTGTAACCTGTCAATGGTGTAGAGGACCCTCAACATATATGATTATGATGATCTTTTTCCCTAAAGGAGAACTTTGGGATTTTAATTCTGCTAGTAGCTGACTGTAGCAACAGAAATCCATCTAAATAATCTATTAGGGTATTGTTATAATCCATCATGCTGCCCCCTTCAGAAACCTAAAGTGCTATGGAAAACAGTGTTCTTCTCACTTCCAGTGGGTAGGGATTTTAATCTTTTACGTTCTTTATTTCATACTTCTCATGCTTTATAGTTAGTTTTGTTTACAGCTTCCTTGAACCTTTTTTTTCTTTCTCTTAATAATATAAAACCATTAGATTCTTACTCATGAGTTATATTAGAAAATAAAGTTTCTTGTGTCAGTGATGTCCCATTATTTGATTCTGCAGTAGCCAATTTTGTTCGGATATTCGATCACAATTGGAGAATGACTTTATGGAATCTCTTCAAGCTGAGGTAAGGCACACCATTTGTTTTATCATGATTCGTATGTCTCAGGACTGCCTTTGTTCTTAATTATTTCAAACTCTTATTATCTGTTTCACCTTTTTTCAGGTCAGTGAAGAGGGTGAAGCTGGGGCCATTAGACCGTTGCCTTGGTACCCTGACAACCTTGCTTGGCAATCAAATTTTTCTCGCATGCAGTTGAGGAAGAACCAAACCCTTGAGAGGTAATTAATTTATTATGTAATATTGTTTTAATAACTTTAAGTAAGTAAATAGCATTGTGGCATCACCTTAAAGAGTTTAACACAGGAGGTATATGGTGCCTTTCCATTGGGATGCTGTCTAGTGATTTTGGCTGTCACTAGGCCACAATTGTTATACTGCTAATGTGCCAGTTGTAAATTGGTGGCAATTCAGTACTTCAATAACTAATGTACCTAATCACTGCCAATTGTAATGTTTTGTTTTGTGCTGGGATGCATATGCTCATGTACCTAGTTGTGAATTTTTGGTATATCTATAATTTCGGAATTTATAGAACTATGGATGATGTTGGTTATCGTAGAAAGGATTCCCTATAGAGTGTTTGTTTTCATTATTACGCATCAATTACTATGAAGAGGATATAATGCAAAATGTGCTTCAAGACACTTTAATGAGTAAACCCTTCAAGTAATTTAGAAAATATAACTTTTTGGTAAAAAGATCCAATTTTTCATGAATGAAACAACAATATGTGATTTGCAACATTTAGTGGATGGTTTGTGACTAACTGACCACAAGATACTGAGAATTTCATTGTAATTTGGTAGAAGGGGAGAGTATAAGACAAAGAAAAATTTATATAATGATCACATAACATTACAAAATGGTGAAGCTGGAAATCCAGCACCTTAGATACAATGAAAAACTACTAGGGGAATGTGTACAATATTTGAAGGTTGTCTATTATACGATAAGCTGGTTTGAATCATTCAACTAGAATCAAATTAGTTTTCTTATATTTTAGTTTCAACTATTGATTCTGATTATATTATATGATCAGCTGGTGCGAATCATTCAACTGGAATCAAATTAGTTTTCTTATTTTTTATTTTCAGCTATTGATTCTGATTAAACCAATTTCAGGTTCCATGAGTTCTTAAAGCTAGAAAATGAAATTGGGAACATAACCAGACAAGAGGCTGTTAGCATGGTGGGCAGACTTTTACTCGTTGTATTTCCTTGATGCCACTATGATTGAGAAATTTTGAGTGTCGGAGACATGCAGTTCACTTTTGTTACTGCTTAAGTTTGTCCTATAACTTAATACTTGCTATGGTGTAGGTACCTCCCCTCTTCTTGGATGTACAGCCAGATCATTTTATACTTGATAGTAAGCAACCTTTGTAGTGCATGTGAAAAGTTCTCATACCATTTACTCTCCTTTTTCTTGTAAAAGAAGTACTACATCAGTTAAACAATTTATGCAATTATTTCGTTTTTCTTCAAAATATGTTGAGCTTATGAGGTGTTATACCTTCTCATATCTCAAATATAGGAATGATATAATAACACTTATGAATCCAAAATAAATTTCAACGTAACATAGAGTTTCCTTACTGCTTGCTTTTATTATGCAGTGTGCGCAGCACCAGGTTCAAAAACATTCCAATTGATTAGTTTCTTCCTCTTGGTTCTCTATTTCTCTCAGGCAAACACTCATTTGCTTCAACAGTGTACTTAAAATGAGGGTCACCTAGAAATTAAGAAATGCTACGGACACCAACGTTTTGGCATCAAATTTTACAATAAATGACGTGTCCATTGAATCAGACGAGCCGTATATCACGTAACCAATATTTCGCGAATTGATGAGTGGACACCAGTCCATTATCAAATTTTTTTAGATGAAATGCTCAGACAATGTCAAAGTGGTCCATAATTTACTTAAAATCTTTTTTTTCTTTTTTCATCTAAAAATTTTACACTTTAAAAATGAATATTTCATCTTAATTAAACAATGGATAGGCATCAATTTAAAAGGGACGCATGTCCATTGAATGTAAAATTTTTTAGACAGACGTCCATTGTATGGACATCCATCCATAGTAAAAGGATACCTGTCCAATAAGATAGAAGAGAATCCATTATTTTTCTTTTAAAATTTTTTAGACGGGCATTCATCTCGTCTATAGTAAATAGACACCGTCCATATAATATGAACATGGGTCATTAATATGGGTAGACGTCATAAATGTTGGATAACATCATTCACGAAAGACTTAGCAGTGCGTCGACTGGTTGTCTGTCCTTTGATACAAAAATTCGATATAAAATTTTGGTGTCCGTAACATTACTATAAATTAATGGCACGCAAAATCGGTGAGAATAAAAGTCGTGGGCTGATCCAGACAGCAAATGTAAGTTTTCAAATAGGTTGGATTGGACTGAGCCGGGCCAGTAGCCCATAACAAAATGTGAATTCATAATCATAACTCCCACAAACCGCACACAAGCGCGGGCGTTACAAACTCGCACCATTACGGTCACCGAATCAATACAAGAGCAAAGCAAGCACAGCAGTAGAAGCAAAGAAAAAGAGCGGAAAGGGCGGCGGAGGAAGAGAAGGAAGAAGTTACAGGTCTCGCACTCAGAGAAAACATTTCAAACAAAGTAGAGAGAACGTTTGGAAACGTAGCAAAGCCGATCTTCTGCTCCCGATTCAACTGACAATCCAACTTGGCAGCCTTTCGCCACTCAGACCCCGCCTTCGATGAATACTATAAGGTAATTCATTTTTTTCTTTCTTTACTTCCTCCTTGTAAATAATGGTTTTCTGTGATTTGATGTTGGTAGGCGCAAGGGATTGTGGCTGCTGAGGAGTGGGAGCGCTTTGTGGAAGTTCTTCGAAAGGCATTACCGGCTGCGTTATTGAATTTCCAGGTAAAAATATTGTGGTTAGTAATTTGTTGTGTTTGTTAAATGCTATGTTGTGAGAGAGGATAACTGCGAGATTGATTTTTTATTTGTGCTATGCTTTCAGTTCAAGTAAGGTTTAAAGTGGAAAACTGGGTACTGCTAAGTTGTCATGTGGTACTTTTTGTATTTTGTGGTCAGAGACTTGACTAGTTAACATGTGCTATACTGAAATTTAGTGTAGTTGGCGTTTCATGAGATTGATCAGTTGGGGTACATCAATTATGTGTGCATATAGAGAGGAATTTGCAATATCTTGGTTTGTGCTAAAAGTGATTAACGATAAGGGCATTGGGTTCTTCCTGCCATTTGTGCTGTCATTGGCAAGACATTTGTTGCGGACTCCATCATAAGCATTAGGAATTGCTCTTTCCTTAATTGCTTAAATACATATGCAGCACTTCAGCTTCAAATTTGTCTTGGTTTTGAGTCTGTCTTTGCTCCAGTGTTTAAGGAGCTTGGTTAGCAGGTTAGGGTCTTCTTAAGTTGGCATGGTGGGTGCGTTTTCTTGGTTGTTTGAGATTATTTAATACAGTTGGGTCACTTTCTTGGCCAGGTGATGTTAAACTTATAAGCCCTTTTGGATTTAATTTACTATACCTGCATGTCCTCGGAGTTCCAGCCCTATCAGGTAGTCAAATCATTGAATTTGAGGCAGTCCTAGAAAGCCTATGGTGCATTTTCCTTGGTGTTGAGATTGTTTAATACAGTTGGGTCACTTTCTGGGCAGGTGATGTTAAATTATAAGCCCTTTTGGATTAATTTACTATACCTGCATGTCCTCGGAGTTCCAGCCCTATCACGTAGTCAAATCATTGAATTGAATGCAGTCCTAGAAAGCATAAGAGCTGTATGCTGATGATAGAGCAGTTTGGCCTGCAGGATAAAATTGTGTTGCACATGTGCTAAGACCGTGCAAGTTCCTCAGGATCAGTTTTGAGCAAGTTTTCCTGGTTACCACTGTCACACTTGACTTGTCCCCGAAGCCAGTGCATTTTGACCCGGTCCTATACATAGGATAAGAGGATAGCATTGTAAAAATCAATTGTGCAAGTGCTCTTAAGCCGGGGAAGAATGATTGTTGATATCAGAAGATGGCTAGGCCTCAACTTGATAAATCTATGATAAACATTAATCTGAAAAACTGTGAGGAGTGTTATTCATTTGTAGTTTGTGATGTATCTATTTTTGGGTGCACAAATAGTTGAGTGTTCTTAGCTAGAAATGCAAGAAACTTCATGGTGCTTGCCTAGTTGGGTGTGCCAAGACGTTACACTATGTGAAATCATGGATCAAAATTTCAGTTCAGAGAGTAGTAGCTTCAAGTTAGAGTTAGAACCTTGGAGCATGAACATGTAAGTGGCTGAACAATGTACTTAGTCGTTATGTGGTTATACAGAATGATATGACTATGAAAGAAAATTAGGATTGAAAACAAGATAGGGATTTTGGTGCCTGAGACTATTTAAGCAATCAGAATCCCTTTTTCCGCGTAATGGTTACTTTGAGTAGTTCAAGGAAATGAATCAAATCATAAAAGTAAACTTCAAAAAACGTTGTGAAAAATATTTGACGCTTCAAAACTTGGAAAAAAAAAATTGAAAAAGATTTTATTTGAAATGTCCTAAATTTAAACTTTTCCTAATGATTCAAAATTGCTTACTCAATCACCCAAGAAGTCTTTTTGAATTAAAACGGTTGGACACTAAATAATAGGCCCAAACGGCCCCAAAAATGAAGAATCCATTAGGTTTCAACAAAATAGACAATTTTTTTAGGGAAATGATTTCCAACCCCCATCGAATTGATTATTATCCTCTTATTGCTAAATACACTTCTTTTTTATAATTAAAAAAAAAATTATCTTTAAACCCCATCTAATACCGAAAATAACCTTCTAAGCTTAATTGGGTTTATAATCCCCAATTTCAAACTTAATTATGTTGTTAATTTTACCCCTTTTTTCCCATCTTCAGTAGATAAACTTTATTAATTTTTTTGTTTACACACATTCTCCCCAATTTTCAAATTTTAATTTGAAACTTACCTTTTTCTTCTTTAGATGCAAATTCATCCCGTTATGCAATTACTTTTCTATAATATTAGTAATTTAGTATTATATTTTCATCAATCAAACAAATATTTGAAATAAAATAAAAGGTTTCAATGATTATAAAAAGTTAGGGTTAGAGTTTATATAAGATTAGAAGTTAAAAATTAAAACAGAAATATAAAATAGAGTAAATTGTATTTAAAAATTATGGTTGCGTTTGGTATACTTTTTTAAATAGTGTTTCTAAAATCTTATTAAGAATAGGATATGATAAGATTCTGACTGAAAATGTGTTTGGTACATTGTTGGAAAACATTTCCTTAAAATTTTAGATTATTTTTTAACCCTTTACATTTGTTAATTTAGCTAAACATCCCCCTTTAACAATAAAAGTTCACAAATTAACAATAACACCCCCACCCACCCAATCAACTGCCGACAACCAGCCACCATCGCCGGACGGTGGCCGTCAGTCTCCGGAATGGTGCATGAATAGCTGGATCTGATTGGTCGTGCGCTGATTTTGCATTTTCTAATCATATCCACCTGGATCTGGTCGGAAAAGGCAAGATCGACATACTACTGGTCAGATCCAACCGATTGTGCATCGTTTGAGCGTCGACTGTCGATGGTGGCGGTGGCGGCTGGTGATGGCTGCTGGCGGGTGATAGTGGCTTGGGTGGGTGAGAATGTTTTTGTTAATTTTAAAACTTTTATTGAGAAAGATCATTGTTGATGTTTTTACTTTTGAGTTGAATAGAATAAAATTGGATTTTGAAGAATATTAAAACAAACACATTTTTATTTTTTAGGATAGGATAACGGAACAGGATAGTGTTAAATAGCCATACAAACGCAACAATAATCTCATTATTAGTCATTTTAATTAAGGTTAAACTTGTTAAAATAAAAAATACATTTAAAAGTGGGGGATACTGATAAATTAGGTGAGGGATAAAAATCACTTCCCTTTTTCGTAAGAAAGAAGAAAATCGATCAAAGCTGGTCCAATAGGCTCCATTGGGCCTAATCAAGAAGCCCGAGATTGGAAACCTAAGTAATGGGTCATATGTCAGTTACGACTCCAAATCCAAATCCAAGGTAATGGGTCATAGGTAGAGGAGTAAAATAGGTTCCTAATGTGCAAGAATTTAGGTAGCAAAGACACAATTAGTCTAACGTGATTTTATAATTTATAACTAATTTTTTGAATTTTTTCTTTCAATGTCTAAACAAAGAGCAGATGTTATATTGGATCATTTTAATAGAATCCTCCTAATTTATTAGATTTTGCTTCCTTCTTGTTTCTCTAATTTCTCCTATCAGGCCAAACACTCATTTGCTTCTAACAGTGTACTTAAAATGAGGGTCACCTAGAAAAAGAAAATGCTACGGACACCAACGTTTTGCATCAAATTTTACACTAAATGACGTGCCATTGAATCAGACGAGCCGATATCACGTTAACAAATATTTCGCGATTGATGAGTGGACACCAGTCCATTATCAAATTTTTTTGAATGAAATGCTCACAATGTCCAACTGTGCGTCCATACTTTTACTTAAAATCATTTTTTTTTCTTTTATTTCATCTAAAAATTTTACACTTTAAAAATATATTTCATCTTAATTAAACAATGATAGGCATCAATTTAAAAGGGACGCATGTCCATTGAATGTAAAATTTTTTAGACAGACGTCCATCTTGTATGGACATCCATCCATAGTAAATGGATACCTGTCCATATAAGATAGACGAGAATCCATTATTTTTCTTTTAAATTTTTTAGACGGGCATTCATCTCGCTATAGTAAATAGACACCCTCCATATAATATGAACATGAGTTCATTAAATATGGGTAGACGTCCATAAATGTTGGATAACCATTCATTCCGCAAAGACTTCAGCATGTTGCGTCGACTGGTTGTCATGTCCTTTGATACAAAAATTCGATATAAAATTTTGGTGTCCGTAACATTACTCATAATTAATTGGCACGCAAATATCGAGTGAGAAATAAAGTCGTGGGCTGATCCAGACAGCAAATGTAAGTTTTTCAAATAGGTTGGATTGGACTGAGCCGGGCCAGTAGCCCATAACAAAAATGTGAATTCATAATCATAACTCCCACAACCCCACACAAGCGCGGGCGTTACAAACTCCACGCCACATTACGGTCACCGAATCAATACAACAAAGCAAAGCACAGCAGAGAAGCAAAGAAAAAGAGCGGAAATGGGCGGCGGAGGAAGAGAAGGAGAAGTTACAGGTCTCGCACTCAGAGAAAACATTTCAAACAAAGTAGAGAGAACGTTTGGAAACGTAGCAAAGCCGATCCTTCTGCTCCCGATTCAACTGACAATCCCACTTGGCAGCCTTTCGCCACTCAGAACCCCGCCTTCGATGAATACTATAAGGTACTTCATTTCTTTTCTTTCTTTACTTCCTCCTTGTAAATTAATGGTTTTCTGTGATTTGATGTTGGTAGGCGCAAGGGATGTGTGCTGCTGAGGAGTGGGAGCGCTTTGTGGAAGTTCTTCGAAAGGCATTACCGGCTGCGTTTAGAATTAATTCCAGGTAAAATATTGTGGTTAGTATTTGTTGTGTTGTTAAATTGCTATTGTGAGAGAGATAACTGCGATGATTGATTTTTTTATTTGTGCTATGCTTTCAGTTCAAGTATTTAGGTTTAAAGTGAAACTGTGTACTGCTAAGTTGTCATGTTTACTTTTTGTATTTTGTGGTCAGAGACTTGACTAGTTTAACATGTGCTATACTGAAATTTAGTGTAGTTGGCGTTTCATAGATTGATCAGTTGGGGTACATCAATTATTGTGTGCATATAGAAGAGGAATTTGCAATATCTTGGTTTGTGCTAAAAGTGTTAACGATAAGGGCATTGGGTTCTTCCTGCCATTTGCTGCTGTCATTGGCAAGACATTTGTTGCCGGCACTCCTCATAAGCTATATGAATATCCTTTCCTTAATTGCTTAAATACATATGCAGCACTTCAGCTCTAATTTCTGTATGGTTTTGAGTCTGTCTTTGCTCCAGTGTTTAAGGAGCTTGGTTAGCAGAGTAGGGTCTTCTTAAGTTAGGCATGGGCTGGTGCGTTTTCCTGGTTGTTTGAGATTATTTAATACAGTTGGTCACTTTCTTGGCCAGTGGATGTTAAACTTATAAGCCCTTTTGGATTTAATTTACTATACCTGCATGTCCTCGGAGTTCCAGCCCTATCAGTAGTCAAATCATTGAATTTGAAGGCAGTCCTAAAAGCCTATGGTGCATTTTCCTTGGTTGTTTGAGATTGTTTTACAGTTGGTCACTTCTTGGGCAGGTGATGTTAAACTTATAAGCCCTTTTGGATTTAATTTACTATACCTGCATGTCTCGGAGTTCCAGCCCTATCACGTAGTCAAATCATTGAATTTGAATGCAGTCCTAGAAAGCCTATAAGAGCGTATGCTGATGATAGAGCAAGTTTGGCCTGCAGATAATAATTGTAGTTGCACATGTGCTAAGACCCGTGCAAGTTCCTCTAGGATCAGTTTTGAGCAAGTTTTCCTGGTTACCACTGTCACACTTTGACTTGTCCCCGAAGCCAGTGCATTTTGACCCGGTCCTATACATAGGAAAGAGGATAGCATTGTAAAAATCAATTGTGCAAGTGCTCTAGCCAGGGGAAGAATGATTTTTGATTCAGAAGATGGCTAAGGCCTCAACTTTGATAAATCTTGATAAACATTAATCTGAAAAACTGTGGCTAGTGTTTATCATTTGTAGTTTTGTGATGTACTATTTTGGGTGCACAATAGGGAGTGTTCTTAGCTAGAGAATGCAAGAAACTTCATGGTGCTTGCCTAGTTGGATGTGCCAAGACGTTACACTATGTGAAATCATGGATCAAAATTTCAGTTCAAGAGAGTAGTAGCTTCAAGTTAGAGACTTAGAACCTTGGAGCATGAACATGTAAGTGGCTGAACAATGTACTTAGTCGTTATGTGTTTATACAGAATGATATGACTATGAAAGAAAATTAGATTGAAAACAAGATAGGGATTTTGGTGCCTGAGACTATTTAAGCAATCAGAATCCCTTTTTCCCGTAATGGTTACTATTGGATAGAAATTTGATGCTAGTCACTAGAAGATATGGCATGTCAAACCACACAAAAAAGGGTTATGCTAACGAACTGGTATTACTGAAAGAGACAACAAATGTGATTAGTGTATGAATTAATGAATTAAACATGTTGGTTATCATATGAAGGGTCAAAAGTTGGTGTTTTTTCTTTATATTTTGGGTTGGGGGGTTTGGGAATTCTGAAGCATAAATTTATAGCATAGGTTTACACTTGTAAAGGGACAGTTTTCTTTTTTTAGTTTTAATCCCCTGGTGACCTGGTCCACTTCATACATGTATTTTTATGGTTATATACATCCTCATTTTTCTATAAACAATAAATATGTGCTTTCTGTAACCTGTCAATGGTGTAGAGGACCCTCAACTATATGATTATGATTATCTTTTTCCCTAAAGGAGAACTTTGGGATTTTAATTCTGCTAGTAGCTGACTGTAGCAACTGAAATCCATCTAAATTCTATTAGGGTATTGTTATAATCCATCATGCTGCCCCCTTCAGAAACCTGAAACCTAAAGTGCTATAGAAAACATGTTCTTCTCACTTCCAGTGGGTAGGGATTTTAATCTTTTACATTCTTTATTTCATACTTCTCATTTTATAGTTAGTTTTGTTTACAGCTTCCTTGAACCTTTTTTTTCTTTCTCTTAATAATAAAAACCATTAGATTCTTACTCATGAGTTATATTAGAATAAAGTTTCTTGTGTCATGATGCCATTATTGATTCTGCAGTAGCCAATTTTGTTCGGATATTCGCTCACAATTGGAGAATGACTTTATGGAATCTCTTCAAGCTGAGGTAAGGCACACCATTTGTTTTATCATGATTCGTATGTCTCAGGACTGCCTTTGTTCTAATTATTTCAAACTCTTATTCGTTTCATCTTTCACCTTTTTCAGGTCAGTGAGAGGGTGAGCTGGGGCCATTAGACCGTTGCCTTGGTACCCTGACAACCTTGCTTGGCAATCAATTTTTCTCGCATGCGTTGAGGAAGAACCAAACCCTTGAGAGTAATTAATTTATTATGTATATTGTTTTAATAATTTAAGTAGTAAATAGCATTGTGGCATCACCTTAAAGAGTTTAACACAGGAGGTATATGGTGCCTTTCCATTGGATGCTGTCTAGTGATTTTGGCTGTCACTAGGCCACAATTGTATACTGCTAATGTGCCAGTTTAAATTGGTGGCCATTCATACTTCAATAACTAATGTACCTAATCACTGCCAATTGTAATGTTTGTTTTGTCGGGTGCATATGCTCATGTACCTAGTTGTGATTTTTGGTATATCTATATTTCGGAATTTATAGAACTATGGATGATGTTGGTTATCGTAGAAAGGATTCCCATAGAGTGTTGTTTTCATTATTACGCATCAATTACTATGAAAGGATATAATGCAAAATGTGCTCTAGACACTTTAAGGAGTAAACCCTTCAAGTAATTTAGAAAATATAACTTTTTGGTAAAAGATCCATTTTTCATAATGAAACAACAATATTGTGATTTGCAACATTTAGTGGATGGTTTTTGACTAACTGACCACAAGATACTGAGAATTTCATTGTAATTTGGTAGAAGGGAGAGTATAAGACAAAGAAAAATTTATATAATGATCACATAACATTACAAAATGGTGAGCTGGAAATCCAGCACCTTATACTAAAAAACTACTAGGGGAATGTGTACAATATTTGGAGGTTGTCTATTATACGATTAGCTGGTTTGAATCATTCATGGAATCAAATTAGTTTTCTTATATTTTAGTTTCAACTATTGATTCTGATTATATATATGATCACTGGTGCGAACATTCAACTGGAATCAAATTAGTTTTCTTATTTTTATTTTCAGCTATTGATTCTGATTAAACCAATTTCAGGTTCCATGAGTTCTTAAAGCTAGAAAATGAATTGGGAACATAACCAGACAAGAGGCTGTTAGCATGGTGGGCAGACTTTTACTCGTTGTATTTCCTTGATGATGCCACTATGATTGAGAATTTTGAGTGTCGGAGACATGCAGTTCACTTTTGTTACTGCTTAAGTTGTCCTATAACTTAATACTTGCTATGTGTAGGTACCTCCCCTCTTCTTGGATGTACAGCCAGATCATTTTATACTTGATAGTACAACCCTTTGTAGTGCATGTAAAAGTTCTCATACCATTTACTCTCTCTTTTTCTTGTAAAAGTAGTACTACATCAGTTAACACATTTATGCAATTATTCGTTTTTCTTCAAAATATGTTGAGCTTATGAGGTGTTTACCTTCTCATATCTCAATATAGGAATGATATAATAACACTTATGAATCCAAAATAAATTTCAACGTAACATAGAGTTTCCTTACTGCTTGCTTTTATTATGCAGTGTGCGCAGCACCAGGTTCAAAAACATTCCAATTGCTAGAGATTATTCATCAATCCGCAAAACCTGGATCACTACCTGATGGAATGGTTTGTCTCATTTCTAGTTTCTAGGACATAATTATAATTATCACTCTTATTTCCCTTTTTTTTTTTTTTTTTTTTTTTTTTTTTTTGTTTTTTTGTTTCCTGTTTCTGGTATTCAGAAACATGAAGATCATGTTCATTGCTCTTGTGCTATTTTTGTTTCATGAATACACTAAAATCTGTTGGATTCACGTAGGCTTCAAGGCAAAGGATATAGGAAAACAACTTAAAATTGTCTCTGATTTTAACACCCAATAAGTCACATCAGCTTTATGACAAAGTAGTAATGACTGATGGATACTCTCCTGTAAAAACTTGAGAATTTTTGATTATATTTAGAATAATTTTTAAAACTAATCAAATATTGAAAAATTACGTAAAAATAGTAGCAAACTTTTACTTATAAATATTTAATATTGTTCTATTTTTATGGTATTTTATCATAATTCCTCATGCTTTGTGACATGGTAATGTTTGTTTGCTCTTTATGCATAAAAAAACCTTTTAAAAAAATATTTTTCCAGTATCATCTTTTGAAAACATTTTACCAAATCTTTTAAAAAAAAATGTTAAAATCATACCTATCTTAATTTAAAAAGACTATTAAAGGTGCTCTTTTATTTATTTTTAAAATTTTTAAATGTTGTTATCAGAAGATACACAAATGCATTCTCTATCTTAAAAATAGAAAATTTGAAATCTTATTTCACTTTCTCCTTCCCAATTTTTTTTTTTTTTTTAAAACAAAATGCAAAAGAAAAAACGTAACTGACACTCTTAGGTTCCAGTAACTTCTTTATCTGTTTCCTTTTGGTTTGTTCTACCTGCTCTTTCTTGTTATTTCTATGGCATATTTTTCTTGATATTTCATCGCGTTTTTCTTATTCTTTTTATTCTATATGTTGAATTGATCTATCTTCTCTCTCTCTCTCTCTCTCTTCTGGTAATTAGGTGGTTGCAAATGATCTTGATGTCCAAAGGTGTAACCTACTCATCCCACCAACAAAACGAATGTGCACTGCCAACTTGATTGTCACAAATCATGAAGCCCAACACGTTTCCTGGCTGTCGCTCAAAATCTAATGCTTCTGATAAAGAAATTGAATTGGAGTCAAACATCAGTCAGCTTCTGTTTGACCGTGTCTTATGTGATGTTCCTTGCAGTGGGGATGGAACCCTGCGCAAGGCTCCAGATATCTGGAGGAAATGGTTAGATTTTTGTTTTCTCCCAGTCACACTTTTGAAAATTATTTTTGTTACCGTTTAATGGAATTAGTTTTTGCATTGCAGGAATGTAGGATTGGGCAATGGGCTCCATAGCCTGCAAGTTCAGATAGCCATGCGAGGTATCTTGTTTAGAAAAGCAGTTATACAAACTTCTTGGTTTTATGGCCCTATCTTGTATAGAAAACCATTTAACCTGAATGCAGTTAATTAAGAGAAATAAGAACCCACTAGGTGCTGTTTGGTGTGCATCTAAATGTTCCTTGGAAGATTTTTGAAGAGAATAAAATGACGAGTAGTCTGTTGCTAAATTCTCCCACATTGTATTAAGAATGCCACTTGGGTTTCATTATTGCCTATATATAAAGATTCTTGATAATTAATTGGCTTGAGCTAAGCTATTGTTCCATTATCACGGCGAGTTTGTTGATTTTAACTATTACATACTTGGGTCCAACAAACCCCCCGCCCCCGCTCCCACTTTTTAACCAAAAAAAAAAAAAAAAAAAAATCCCTTTGTTTCATCAAAGGGTGTTAAGATTTATAGCAGTGGTATTGATTGTTGCAGGTATGTCTCTACTTAAAGTCGGTGGAAGAATGGTTTACTCGACGTGCTCCATGAATCCAGTTGAGAATGAGGCGGTGGTTTCTGAGGTAATGTATTGTTTACAAGATATAAACATATTAAAAGATAGCATATCTCTTGGACAACCTACATTTGGATTGTTTCCTAATCATCATAGTCGTGATGAAGGAAATATAGTTGTTATTCATGTTTAGTAGTGTGTGCTAAATCTCCAATCATGAGTGTCATTTTTATTTGTTTATATATATATATATATATATATATATATGCTAGTGTTACATGAAAAATAAGGCCCATGTGTTCTTCTTCTCTAGATTTTGCGCAAATGTGGAGGATCTGTTGAACTTGTTGATGTCTCAAGTGAGATTCCTCAGCTTATTCGTCGGCCAGGTCTTAGAAGCTGGAAGGTGTGTTATTGCTTCCCCAAAATCCATGCTCAATCCCTCTCCTGTCTGAATTTTGATGTTCTATTGTTATGCAAATGTAAAGTTCCGATTGTTATCATGTCATGTCTTGCCGTTATGGATTTTCAAGAATATATGTAGCTGCTCCCTTCATTGTTATGCTGATGTAAATTTCTGATAGCATCGCTTCATGTCTTGCTGTTCTTCAATTACTATTATAAAATCATCTTTGTTTTTTTAACTTCACTGGAAATTCTGAAGTTGAAAATTTGCATACCTCTTCCCCTTCAGAGGATACTCAGGAGTCTTTTTGGTGCTCTGTAGTCTTTTTTTTTTTTTTTTTTTTTGTAATATTTGTATGTCTCCTGGAAGGGCATGATTCTAAGATTTAGCATGAGTTTTCTGTAATTTTCTGAAGTAGTCATCTATCAGAAAAAAAATCCATTTTTCCCCCTAATATAGAAGTCCCATGGTGGCAACCTGGAATGGACATCAGAAAAGTTTAGTAAGGGCGAATGCATAAATTGTAATATAAGGTTGAGTTTTTGATGGAGTAATGATAAGGGCATGACTGAGACTGCATTTTGTTAGGTTTAGCCTACTGACCAAAAGAGTTCTTTGTATTGTCAGTATTTCTTTTCAATTTTTGTGTGTCGTATGATTGCAATTAAAGGAGCTATAAGTTAGTGATTAAAAAAAATAGTTTACGTTTATGGGTAGAATCCCATAATTTTAGCTTTTTCAATGAGTTCTATTTGAGGTTTTTAAAAGGATTGAAATGTTAAAGATACTCTTACAGTATTTTCCATTATATTACTGATCCTCTCTTTATAATAGAACTCCTTTCAAAAATTTGCTACTAAGTAGAACTGTTATGTTTATGGGACCAAACAGCTAAAAACTTTTAATTAAAGCTCTACTTCTGTAAGATCTATTCTAGATGCTGCACTTGAAGAAGCCGAAACAAGTAGGCCCTAAATCTTAATAGTGACGTAGGAAATGAAATCGTTGAAGTAGCTAAAGATGGTGAGTCTCCGATGTTTGTCTTTTAATGGATGTATGGGTCCCTAGGGCGATTTATGTTATTAGTTTATTTATTAGAACTTTCTGTTCTATTCTTATGCAATAAGTTGTTTAGTTGTTAATAATTGTGTAAACTTTGAATCTGATTTGTCATTTTTGGTTTTGTCAAACTTTGAGAGAGCTGGGTTAGTATTTGAAGTTTGAATATTAATTTCTGGTGTATGCTTGAAAATTGTCCTACTTTGATCTTCTATATTTTATAGTTTGTATTTGGATTCAGAAGTTTTTATCTTATCTGCTCTATTCCGGGCGAAGGTCATAGCTACTGGTTTTGTTTATTTTGAATCATGTTCAAAAGATACATCTATTTTTTAGAAATTAATTGCAAAAAGTTTAATTGGCATTGATGTCTAATACGGTGGAAAATTCATTCTTTAGAAGTTGTCTTTACATAGATGACTAAGGATCACAAAAATGTTATGATCCAAACTTCAAAAGTTAGATACTAAAACTTTGATAGATAGTGCATTTGATTAATCAAGCTTACATACCATGAAAGTTTTTAATTATCCAATAATTGGACTAAAAGTTTAAATGATAGAAATTATGTTATTGAATCTGTTCAATATAGTCTTTTTTTACAAAGAATTGATAACATGCTATCTTCTGTTGTTTGTGTACAGATACGTGACAAGGGTGTTTGGTTAGCTTCCTACAAGGATGTCCCCAAATATCGCAGAACAGGGATTATTCCCAGCATGTTTCCTTCTGGCAGGAGTGATGTGGATCCAACTGACAATGGCCATAAGCAGGAGAATGGCACCAATGGAAATTCTGAAGATGCACTTCAGCCAATGGAGGATGCTATGACTTTAGTTGAAGATTTGGATGTGGAGGTTTCTGATCTTCCATTAGAACGTTGCATGAGGCTAGTACCTCATGATCAGAACTCTGGAGCCTTTTTCATTGCTGTCCTCCAGAAAGTTTCCCCGCTGCCAGGTAATAATATTAGGTCATATTACTTCTAGATTATAAGTATCGGGTGGGGTATATCCAAGGTATGCCTGGTAGTACATAAGTATGGTAATAGTATGGTTCTTTCTCCATTTCATGTGGATTCTTGATTCCCTTCTGCATGTTTGCTGAACTTATTTTTGTTATACCATTGTAAACATCTCTCCCTGCTTCTGGATTAGCTTCTAAATTGGTATCTGTAAGATGTTATTTGTCTATATGCATTTTTTTGAATTCTTTTTCCTGCAGTAGTTCAGGAGAAATCTACCACTCCACAAGGAAATTTGGTCCCTAAAAAGGATGATGAGCCACGTATAACATTATCAAATCAAATTCCTGAAGATAAAAATGGAAAGGTGGAGGTAGCAGATGGTGCAAATGAGATGTGTCCAGAAGGCACTTCAGAGGCTAATTTAATTGATAATGAAGAAGAAGGAGCTGCTTTGGAACCGGATTCTTTTAATGCATGTGAAAACCATGACACAGAGGAAACTGAAGTGCCTGTTGATAAGGAAACTGGTTCTGGAAGAACCGGGGAGAAGAGGAAGTTACAGATGCAAGGAAAATGGAAAGGGGTTGACCCTGTTGTTTTCTTCAAAGACGAAACTATTATCAGTAGCATACAGACATTCTATGGGATTGATGAGTCCTTTATGCTCTATGGCCATCTTGTCACAAGAAATAGTGATGCTAACCATGTGAAGAGAATTTACTACGTTTCAAAGTCAGTGAAGGATGTTCTTGAACTAAATTTCCGAGTTGGGCAGCAACTTAAGATAACTTCTGTTGGCCTGAAAATGTTTGTAAGTATATCCATACATTACTTGTCTTCTTATTGTTTTATTTATTTATTTTTTATCTTTGGGATTAACTTTCAATTACTGATTAGGAACCCAGCCTGGCCTGGCCGGTTTAACCGGTTATACCTGGACCCAGGGCCTTCACCGGTTTAACCGGCAAAGGTAGAAAACTGGCCCTCAAAATTACAAACACCCCCTGCTCCTTCCACTCACCCCCTCTCACATTTCAGCACTTTCTCCCTCACTTCGTCGGATTCCGGTGCCTAAAATCACCCCCGAACCCTCCATTGGCCTCACCGGCATCTCCTCACCAAAAACCCCAACACCCCTGACCTTGATTGGTCGCTGATCGTTGTCGGCCACCCTTAGGGTTTCGTGATTTTACTTTTTTTCGGTCGTTCCCAGTGCCGAAAATCACCCCCGTCCCCTCCATTTGCCTCACTGGCATCTCCCCACCAAAACCCCCATCATCCCGAAGTCCGATTGGCCGCCGATTGTCACCTGTCTGCAGGGGTGTTTTGCTGGATTTCAAAGTTGAAGGGACTGATGTGTATTTATCAGGGGTGTGTTTGCTAGACTTTAAACCTACTGGATTGATGGTTAAACCGTCGGTCAAACCGTGACCTAGTCCCCTGGCCGGGTTCCTAATCATTGCTTTCAAATAGATATGATCATATTGCTTTCTCCACGGATCTCTTCCTCCTCTTCGGCTTTGCTTATACCTTACCCTATGTATAATGATAAACTTTTGATGTCAGTTAACAAATCTGTCTATTGCCTTGAGCAAAACTTGTGTGCATTGCTTAAGGTTATCATTTGCCAAACTGTATATCTTATAAGAGTTTATAAATTAAACCAATGAACAAAAAGGGAACTTCTGCATGATTTATGATAAGAGTTTTGAGTTTTTTTTATTTTTATTTTTTTGCTTATTTAACAGGAGCGGCAAACATCCAGAGAAGGGACCACTGCACCATGTTCATTTAGGATATCATCTGAAGGGTTGCCAGTAATTCTTCCATACATCACCAAGCAGATCCTCTATGCAACCCCAACCGACTTCAAGCATCTATTGCAATATAAAAATATCAAATTTGCAGACTTTGTTGATGCTGAGTTTGGTCAGAAGGCATCAAAGCTAATGATGGGTTGCTGTGTGATAGTACTAAAGAGAGGTATGTAGCATCATATCCTGTCTTGCATGCAATGCATGTTAAGTTGATTCAATTATCAATCTTCTGCAGGTGGCAATGCTTTGCCAGATCCTGTCCAAGTTGATGAATCAACAATAGCCATAGGATGCTGGAAAGGCAGGGCCAGTTTGAGTGTGATGGNCAGCCAACAGAGGATGCTATGACTTCAGTTGATGATTTGGATGTGGAGGTTTCTGATCTTCCATTAGAACGTTGCATGAGGCTAGTACCTCATGATCAGAACTCTGGAGCCTTTTTCATTGCTGTCATCCAGAAAGTTTCCCTGCTGCCAGGTAATAATATTAGGTCATATTACTTCTAGATTATAAGTATCGGGTGGGGTATACCCAAGGTATGCCTGATAGTAATATGTATGGTAATAGTATGGTTCTTTCTCCATTTCATGTGGATTCTTGATGCCCTTCTGCATGTTTGCTGAACTTATTTTTGTTATACCATTGTAAACATCTCTCCCTACTTCTGGATTAGCTTCTAAATTGGTATCTGTAAGATGTTATTTGTCTATATGCATTTTTTTGAATTCTTTTTCCTGCAGTAGTTCAGGAGAAATCTACCACTCCACAAGGAAATTTGGTCCCTAAAAAGGATGATGAGCCACGTATAACATTATCAAATCAAATTCCTGAAGATAAAAATGGAAAGGTGGAGGTAGCAGATGGTGCAAATGAGATGTGTCCAGAAGGCATTTCAGAGGCTAATTTAATTGATAATGAAGAAGAGGGGGCTGCTTTGGAACCGGATTCTTTTAATGCATGTGAAAACCATGACACAGAGGAAACTGAAGTGCCTGTTGATAAGGAAACTGGTTCTGGAAGAACCGGGGAGAAGAGGAAGTTACAGATGCAAGGAAAATGGAAAGGGGTTGACCCTGTTGTTTTCTTCAAAGACGAAACTATTATCAGTAGCATACAGACATTCTATGGGATTGATGAGTCCTTTATGCTCTATGGCCATCTTGTCACAAGAAATAGTGATGCTAACCATGTGAAGAGAATTTACTACGTTTCAAAGTCAGTGAAGGATGTTCTTGAACTAAATTTCCGAGTTGGGCAGCAACTTAAGATAACTTCTGTTGGCCTGAAAATGTTTGTAAGTATATCCATACATTACTTGTCTTCTTATTGTTTTATTTATTTATTTTTTATCTTTGGGATTAACTTTCAATTACTGATTAGGAACCCAGCCTGGCCTGGCCGGTTTAACCGGTTATACCTGGACCCAGGGCCTTCACCGGTTTAACCGGCAAAGGTAGAAAACTGGCCCTCAAAATTACAAACACCCCCTGCTCCTTCCACTCACCCCCTCTCACATTTCAGCACTTTCTCCCTCACTTCGTCGGATTCCGGTGCCTAAAATCACCCCCGAACCCTCCATTGGCCTCACCGGCATCTCCTCACCAAAAACCCCAACACCCCTGACCTTGATTGGTCGCTGATCGTTGTCGGCCACCCTTAGGGTTTCGTGATTTTACTTTTTTTCGGTCGTTCCCAGTGCCGAAAATCACCCCCGTCCCCTCCATTTGCCTCACTGGCATCTCCCCACCAAAACCCCCATCATCCCGAAGTCCGATTGGCCGCCGATTGTCACCTGTCTGCAGGGGTGTTTTGCTGGATTTCAAAGTTGAAGGGACTGATGTGTATTTATCAGGGGTGTGTTTGCTAGACTTTAAACCTACTGGATTGATGGTTAAACCGTCGGTCAAACCGTGACCTAGTCCCCTGGCCGGGTTCCTAATCATTGCTTTCAAATAGATATGATCATATTGCTTTCTCCACGGATCTCTTCCTCCTCTTCGGCTTTGCTTATACCTTACCCTATGTATAATGATAAACTTTTGATGTCAGTTAACAAATCTGTCTATTGCCTTAAGCAAAACTTGTGTGCATTGCTTAAGGTTATCATTTGCCAAACTGTATATCTTATAAGAGTTTATAAATTAAACCAATGAACAAAAAGGGAACTTCTGCATGATTTATGATAAGAGTTTTGAGTTTTTTTTATTTTTATTTTTTTGCTTATTTAACAGGAGCGGCAAACATCCAGAGAAGGGACCACTGCACCATGTTCATTTAGGATATCATCTGAAGGGTTGCCAGTAATTCTTCCATACATCACCAAGCAGATCCTCTATGCTACCCCAACCGACTTCAAGCATCTATTGCAATATAAAAATATCAAATTTGCGGACTTTGTTGATGCTGAGATTGGTCAGAAGGCATCAAAGCTAATGATGGGTTGCTGTGTGATAGTACTAAAGAGAGGTATGTAGCATCATATCCTGTCTTGCATGCAATGCATGTTAAGTTGATTCAATTATCAATCTTCTGCAGGTGGCAATGCTTTGCCAGATCCTGTCCAAGTTGATGAATCAACAATAGCCATAGGATGCTGGAAAGGCAGGGCCAGTTTGAGTGTGATGGTTACAGCTATTGACTGCCAGGAGCTGCTAGAAAGGCTTTTAATGCGTATTGAGACCGAGAAGGACAAGTCAATGCAGGAAAACAATGTTGAGACAGCTCAAGTACAGGATCTGGATAATACTGGAAAGAATGAAGGGACCGACTCTATGGAAGTAGGTATAAATGGTTGAAAGTAACAACAATTTTTAGTTACCAGACTCCCTACATTGTACTTTAAAGCTTATATTGGTCTTTATCTTAGCAAAACTTCTTGTCTTGGTTATTACAATTTTACCATTACTGATTCTATTAAACATGTATGTGATTGTGTATTTTTGCCGCAGTGGCAATTGCAATTTTGAGAATGAAGTATTAGGAAATTGCAGCTTCTTTGTATGCTATTTGGATGGTAAAAGCAGCATGAGTAAATCGTGCTGGAGTGTGTATAAGCTTTCGCCAGGAAACTGTTTTTGAAGCCACTGATTAGATGGAAAGAAGCCAAAGCCACAATCTTGGTTATTTCAAATATAATTTACTGCAGTTTCTTCATTACTTTTGAGATATTGAAGTCCAGTACTATTTCTCTTTTTCATCCGTGTGTAGTTAATTACCCAGTTTTTATTAACTTAACCTTCCTGAGTTAACCCAAAAGTATGCTATATTTATTTACCAAGAGAATAGAGAAAAAAGAAAATAATAGAAATAGAAATAAGAAAAAAGTGTTGTACTGCAAAATGGTTTAAAATGAAACAGGTAGGCTAAATAATCAACAACCATATTTAATGCAAATTGGTAACAAGTGCTCCACACCCTTTTAACTGTTTTATGGCTTTTAAAAACATTGAATTAATCATCTGCTCATCAAACTTAACTAAACCAATGTTAAAAAAAAATATACAACACAAATAAATCACACCTCCCAAAAATTGATACTAGCTACATGGAACATCACATCAAGTTCTACAGCACAGGTTGCTCTTAGCTGGGATTTCCTGTGCAGGTCCTGGAATAAGGATCTTCTTGCCAGCAAGGTTTGCGGGGTTGCCATTGCCTTGACCTTCTTCAGCTGTTAGATTCTTCTTGTTCACAATATTGAAAATCTCAGTCAAGACGGTCATGAAGGCAGTCTCAACGTTTGTTGCTTGCAATGCTGAGGTCTCTAAGAAAAACAGGCCTTCCTTCTCAGCAAATTCTTTGGCATCCTCTGTGGGAACTGCACGCTGGTCCTCCAGATCACTCTTGTTCCCAATCAGGATGATAACAATATTCTTATCGGCATGGCTTCGCAGCTCTTCCAGCCAACGGGGTATGTGATCAAAGCTCTGGCGTCTCGATATATCGTAAACCAGCATTGCCCCAACAGCACCTCTGTAATATGCACTTGTGACAGCTCTGTATCTGCTCATTTCACCAAAAAGCAGAGGGCAAAAGCATCACTTTCTGGAGAAAGTTTCAGTAAAATTTAAATCCAATGTCAAGGGTCTACCATGACAAAGACTTGAGTACGTCGTGGCATATCATAAAAATTAGGTTTAGATCATAAATCCATTTTGTTTAAGTTTAATCAAGTTTGCAAACTAACTTCTCCATGGCAGCGATTACAGAGGATAAAATAATACAGTACAAAATTTATTGATCTAACTAAAGACCAGATTATAATAGAAGAACAAGCTACTAGTTCCAAAATTAATGAAAAACCTTAAAATTCTGAAAATTATAATTAACCTACCCTAAAATTCATGACAAACTTTTCTTCAAGTTCTGTAATATTTACCAAACATCTCTCCTACATGAGATGTTATAAACGACAAAACCTCAGATGAAACTGCTGATGTTTCCCCTTTATAAATATAAGTTTATTAGTCATTACAAAGCAGATACATGCTGAACCACTTGTTTAAGTGACAACTGAAGGCTGCAAAACACATAGCCCAACACTATAAAAGCACATAGCCCAACACTATAAAATGCATCTAATGTATTGATCATGGAAGAAAATCACAAATCAGAACCTAAAAAGTACCTCAGGCACTACAAGAATGGGATCAGTTTGGATTAAGTCCAAGGCTCAAATCACAGTAATAAAATGATAATATGCGACAAAGGGAAAAAGAAAAAACAAAAACTAATACTGCACCACCACTAATCCTATCCCCTAAGAAAATGAACTGATTCCATCTTCAAACTGAGACTTGTATTCCCACCACGGTCAAACAAGAAGCTGCCTAGATTCTGTTAGACTGGGAACAACCCATGATTATGCACAAATCCATTATAATATTACACTAACATTGAAGGATACTTTGCCACTGTATCAGATGCCAATGTCGAAATCTAAGGTACAACTTCATATTTACCATATTTACCAGCTATTTTCTGTTACAGTTTTGAAATTCAATGTTGCAAAGAAAAAAGAGAAAAAAGCAATGCTACTCACAGAAACTGAGCACACAAACTGTCGTGGCTTTACTATTTCATTGTGACACCATTCACCCTCATTACTTGCATCAACCTTTTTAATTTTAAAATTTCCATTCGTGGCGTCTCAAGTCAATTTGCTTACCAAGTTTATGTGCAGTATTATCACAAAATACATACACACAGCATAGATCGATTGACCGACATTGACAAGGCATCAGCCAGCACGAATACAAACAACTAAATACACCTTTCATCATCTTGACATAACAATCTCTAAACATGGCATCCAAAAAAACAAGGCAATCAGATCAAAATCTAGAAACAACCCACATCAAATCTAAGTCATCTAAACATAACAATGTTGAAAAAAAGCTAAAAAAAAAGTGAATTGGTTGGAAAAGTACCGTTCTTGGCCAGCAGTGTCCCAGATCTGAGCTTTAACGCTCTTATGTTCAATAACTAAAGTACGCGTTTGAAACTCAACTCCAATAGTGGCTTTGGAGTCCAAACTGAAGTCATTTCTGGCAAACCTGGCAAGTATCTGAGACTTGCCAACAGCAGAGTCTCCGATTAATACAACTTTGAACACATAGTCTATCTTTTGATTGGGATCTCCATAGCCTCCAGTAGCCATGTGTTTGTGTTAGTGTTTGTTTAAACTGAGAAATCAAAGAATGAAGAGAGGAAGTGAACTTGTGGGAATGATGAAGAAGAAGGTGAAATTTGATGGAGTTGAAGTTGGAGTTGGAGTTGGAGTTGGGTCGGGTGAAACTGGGTTCCAGAGTTTTTATTATTAATTGGGAAAGTAAAAGTTTTTACTTTTTAAGGCATGTAATGCGTATGTCTCGGATGAGATTGGACCTCAACCTAATTAATCGTTTCTTCACGCCAGTGTTAAACGACTGCGTCGAATAGTCTGTGATTGTTAGAAAATCCGAGGTTAATTTTGACCTCCCATTCCTTTTCGGCTTTTCCACACACTTTCTTAACGTGAAAATTACCAGGTAATAATATTTCCAGCACCACCAGCAGCCATGATTGAGCAAACTTTTGAGTAGTTTATAATTAAATAAGGGGTATTTTATATCAACTAAAATTTTTACATAAATTTCCGAGGTTAATTCATTCAAATTCAATCATTTAAGAATTTAACTACTTTCAATATATATATATTTATAGGAGGTATCTGAGCTAGCTTGTCCAGAGCTTATAATTATCGATTGGATAAGAACTTTAGTGATCATTCCTATTAGTGTTAGACGACTCGAATTTAAGAGTTTATGAAACCTATTTTTGCTTTTTTAATATCAGGTCATTCAGTGGTGGTTTTGATTTTCTGTTTACATTTATTGGATTGTAATATACCTATTGGTAAAAAAATTATATATCAATTTAAGTCAAAATTTTAAGTTATCATAACCTCAACTATTAGTTTTAGGCTTTTGAACTAAAGATGTAATGAAAATAAAAGAAATTTTCTAAAACTGATAAAAAAAAAAAAATAGTTTTAGAATTTTAGTAGTATAGGTAACTAATGTTTCTTGTATAGAGTAATTCTTATATCAATGATAATTCTCAAATTATAAGAGTTGTTTTTAAAAGGGATTATTTAAACCACGAGGCTTGTCAAAAATAGATAAAGCCCTCAGGTGCTAGTAATTAATCTTAAGCCCTCTACCATTGGGAATAATTTGTCAATGCGCCTACAATTTTAGAATTATTAAGGGTTAATGCTTTGCACTCCTGAAATTCGTAAAACTTAGTTAGACTCCATAAACTACCATGTAAACCGCCAAAAATATGGGAGTTGACTAAATTTAACCACACACAATATTTACCTTAATTATATTTTGAACTTCATTAGTTTACGCTAAAATAAAATGTATTAACAACTTACTTTTAACTAAAACAGTAAAAACTAACCAAAAGTTAATAAAATTTAAATAATACAAAAATGTTTCAATTAAAAAGAATTAAAAGAAAAACTTTTGAAGATTTAGAAAACTTAAAATTGCTTTAAAAAAAAATACTAAAAAAAATTAAAATCATTGTTCTTTTCAAGTTTTCACAATGCTCTGCCTAGCTGAGCTAATAAAACAACGCATAAATATTTTCACCAATAAAGTATTTATAACTAATTTCCTTCCCCAAGGTCAATTTTTATGACCGACAAGCACACCCCATGATTTCTGAAAAGTACTATATAACCCCCTGATGCAATATATATATATATATTTTAAGTGTAATATGGGTTTTCATAGTGGCTTCAGAGTGGACATTTGGGCATTTTCTTGATGCTCGTAAAATGGTTGAAGCATTAGTATGTGGCGGAAATTGGGTCGAACTTTCTCTTTCCTTGGAAGGTGTCGGTGATGATAAATCAATTAATGAACTAACTATTTTTTATTTTTAATTATCTTCATCTAGAATATCAAGTGTTTTGCTGGTCATGGTGTAAATATTAGTAGCTTCAGATTATACCCATCGGGGAGGGAACCATCAACCACTTCATGCAAACTTTCAAATGTTGTCTTATTTGTAAGGGTATTTTAGTCTTTTAACATTTTTTCAATATCATCCAACGGAATTATATCCAAGTTTTAAAATTGTTTTTTGAGGGTTAAAAAGGGAATTCCAAAGAGATAAAGAGTGATAATCAATCTTATTATTTTTCAATTCATTTAACTCAAAATCATAATATATCTTAATACTTTCTTTATTTTATTTTTATTTTTAAGTCTTAACATCCCACAATTAATAACATAATATCAAGATAAAATCTTATTTATAGTATCTAATTTTTTAAAAAGTTAACTATTAGAATTTTTTTTTTTTTATCATAACTAATGTGTTCAGATTAGCTTATACACATCTCTACTAATATTCGAGGAAGACTACGATAACAATGTTAACTATTAGATAATCAAGTATAAATTTCTTAGGTAAATTTATCGCTAATATTTAAAGAATCAGAGATTCCAATTCTTCGATATCTACAAAGATGTCAAATGATTCAATTTATTATGTATTTTTTGATAAATAGAAACACAAAACTAGTACCGTGCATGTCAGGCACATATTGTGATGTTATAAAATGCTATATTATTTAACATGGATCATATTCAGACATATAACTTCATATGTTGTCTATCTACTTGACCCCTTCGACATCTCTAATTTGCACCTAAAGAACCTTGAATCCTTAATCTTTAATTGTGTCATTTAATTTTGACATGTGTCAATTTTCTGAGATGGTACCACAGTTGGATTCTAGCTTTTCTTGTCATAGAAATATCACATAAATGATTATGACTAACAACTATTATGTGACTAAATTCCACATGCAAATTAGGCTATAATAAGGTCATATGCAAATTCCCACATGTATCTTTTTTTTTTTTTTCAATGACAACGTTATTTGCATGTTTTGAACTTAAGTTTTTCTTAATAAAATGGAAATGGAATTGAATTTTGACATTGAGACTTGCTTTTTTCTAGTGTGAATCTAAAAGATACGAATAGCATCATTGTTGATTTTTAACATATATTAAAACCCAAGTTTCAAATCTTAAAGTCTTTTTCATAATTTTTGAACCTTAAAGTTCATAAATTAACTTTGAATTTAACATACTCGAAATCGAGTTGTAATCAATTGCACCTAGAAATTTTGAATTCTAGTATAACAAATTCAAAATTTGAGGAACATAAAAGGTAATTTGGAGGTCCGGAAGTTACAGAGAATGTTTTTCCCACCCCAAGGTTTGTTGTAATTACATTTTCCCACCCATTGTTAAGATCAGTCCGCTAACCTTAATTGAAGGACAATATAGTAAATTCACTGGAAGCTGAAAAATCAACAATTTAAAAATTGCTTTCTCGACCCGTGTAGTGAAGCTTCGCCCCAATGTTTGTCATGCATCCCACTGTTGTTGACCTAGCGAGGCAAAAAGAAAACGAAAAGTCAAACATCTTTTTTCCATTGTTCTCTATTACTAAACCTTGAGCAGTAAAAAATATAGGATGGAATTCAAGAAAACTTAATCTAAGTATAATTCCTTGTAATTGATTTCGCTTGTAATAGCATGAGTCTCGGTTAGGAAAGTCATTTACATATGAAAGCTCACAAAAACTTGTTTTTTGGGTTTTTAATCAAATTTGGGCCTAAATGTCACTTTGTGAAACACAAGGGTTAAAATGAATTTACCAAGTTTTAAATCTTCACAGTTTAACCCATTAAGTCAACTGGATAAGCTTACTATTGTTAAATTTCAATGTTGGGCTAAAGTGTCATATTTCACAGTAGGGGGTCAAAATGATATATGCCTAAGTTTTATAATCTTGCACTTTAACCCATTCGATCAACTGAATAGGTTGCCGAATGGTTGTCCTACTTGGACAGAAGCAATTCAAAATGCGGATGACTAATGGGAAGACAATTAGTCGACCAAATACCCATTAGGATAACCAAATGCACCATTTGGTCGACCTCATGTCAGTTGGGAATTATAATGGCTAGTGACACATCATTGCCACATCAACAATAGGTAGACAAAATAGACCATTAGATCAACCAAATAATATAATTTGGAAATTTCATTTTTAGGCATAGCGATTATTTTTTTTATTTTTTTAATGATTTTCTACATATACCCAACCAAATCGTGTTGAATTAATTACTTGATTGTAAGAGCTTTGTGATTTTGTAGACAAATTAATTTGCATTTATATGATAACGAATTTATGATACTAGGTGTTTTGTTTTAATGGGTATAAAAGCCGATTTTTCTTCCATTAATACTGGATTTAGAATTAATCACTCGGTTATAAAAGTTTTGAGGTTGTGATTTCACAAACAAACTAATCTATATTTATATGATAACGATGTTGATGAACATGTAAAAATGGAGGAAGAAGAATATATATATATATTTTATTACAATTATACGCTTACTTAAAGTTGAAGATGGGGGGCTAAAGTTAATAATAACGAGGACTAAAAATCACTCTCCTTTTAGAACTAGATTAGATGTGCTTGAAAGACCACACTTTGGGCCAAATTTGAAATAAAGTTGATTGGTTGAAACAAGGCCTTGGAGCTTGGGCCCTTGAAAGAGAGCTCTTTAGCTTAATAATTCAATTCAATATATGCATTACAAAAAATATGAGCTTGTCAATTATCATACAGGTGAGTTTTAACTATATTTTAATTGTTGAGGCTATTGTAACACAATTTCTTGACTTAACAAGAGACACAAAGTAACCACCTTTCATCTAAATCTAATCCAATTGTGTAGAGAAATTTGAACAAAAAGACATTACATATAACTCACACTCTATTATTTCTCTACTTTAAAATAAATACTTGATATTTTATTTTCACTACATAAACTCTAATTCAACAATGGAAACTTCAATCTTTTGAGTGATTAAAATCAAACTTGGAAGAAAAACTGAATTGGTGGGTCTTAATTCAATGGATTTTGTTGTATGTCTCTTCAATTTCTTTGTTACCTCTACAAATACCAATCCAAATTAATAAACCAAAAGTTGTCCATCTCATACTTTTTTTTTTTTTTATAATTGGGGTGTTTATGCTAATTTGCGCGTACCTCAATTAATCTTCCGAGACCTATTGAACATACTACAAATTTAATGTTCTAAGTAAACCACAAATATGGTAAGTAGCCTCAAGGTGGTTTGAATCTATCTCATACTTGATCAACCACTAGAATTATTTTTCAAAATCCAAGACGAATAACCATAGTTTAACAACACGCTCAAAAGAGAAAGTAATCTTTTGGAAAAACAAATTTTTATTTATCATTTTCAAGTT